TGCATTCTCAGATAAGTAGTAGAAAGTGTTCTTTACAAAATGAGAGAACTAAAAAGAAAAAGACTTGGGATCCAGGAAATAAGGGTCCAACAGAGAGGCAAGGATAAATTCCCAGGATGATGATGTAAGAAACTCCAAGAGTGATAGCTGGGCAGCAGTCTTGGAGGGCATCCAGTCCACAATGGAGCAGACCAGAGAGCTTCAGGAGGAGTAGTTCTAAGAAAAAAAGTGAAAAGGATAGATTAGTTGATGTAATTGATCATTTTGAAAATATATTTACAGTTCTGTCAGAGTTCAGTATAAATTTGTGATAAGTACTTTTAGCAAATGAAGCAAAACAAAAATGAAAAATATTAACTCTTAAGATTAAAAAAATTACATAAAAGAAATTTAATGATAGTACATTAATTTTCTTAATTGAAATGGCATACTATAAATACTATTTTAAGATTTATTTGAGAGAATGAGAACGAGTGTGCTCGTGAGCATGAGTGGGGGGGGGACGGGCAGAGGGAGAGAGAGAAGCATACTCCCCACTGAGCAGGGAGTCCAACATGGGGCTCAATTCCAGGACCCTGGGATCATGACCTGATCCGAAGGCAGACGCTTAACCGGCTGAACCACCCAGGGACCCCTGAGTACTATTTTCCAGTCAGACATAATTTTTAACCTGCTTTTTATTTTTTAATTTTTTTAGATTTATTTATTTTTAGAGTATGAGTCGAGGGAGGGGCTGAGGGAGAGGGAGAGAGAATCTCAAGCAGATTCCCCATTGAGCGCAGAACCTGACATGGGGCTCGATCTCATGACCCAGAGATCATGACCTAAGCCAAAACCAAGATTTGGATGCTCAACAGACTGAGCCACCCATATGCCTCTTAACATGCTTTTTATTTTGGGGGCACCTGGGTGGTATTTTTAAGATTTTATTCATTTATTTGACAGAGACACAGCGAGAGCGGGAACACAAGCAGGGGCAGTGGGAGAGGGAGAAGCAGGCTTCCCGCAGAGCAGGGAGCCCGATGCGGGGCTCGATCCCAGGACCCTGGGATCATGACCTGAGCCTAAGGCAGATGCTTAACTACTGAGCCACCCAGGCTCCACCTTAACATGCTTTTTAAAAAATCTATGAAAATACGTAAAATCTATCATCCTTATTATTCTCAAGTGCAAAGTGTTAACTATATGCACATTGTTGTACAACAGATTTCTAGAACTTTTTTTTAATCAAATGTAATTTTAATGAATATGTAATATTTCATTATAAGGATATACCATAATTTTGTTTATGCAGTCCTATATTTTTGGACATTTAATTCTTTCTACTATTTTGTCATAATTTTGAGTTTTGCAGTAGAAATGTTTCCAGATAAATCTTTGTCCACATCCTTGACTTTTTCTTCAAGTTAAATTAGTGAATCAGGAGGTACACATTTTCATTTAAGTTTAATCTTAAGTAGATATTTATTTATTCATTTTCTTTGACTCAAATACATAGTTCCTTTTGATCTGTGATTTAATTTCCAGAAACCTAGAGATTTTGATTCAGTTAATCTTGGGTGGGGCCTGGACATCTATGTTCCAAATCTTCACAGATAGTTAGGAACCTTTTCTTTTTTCTTTTTTCTTTTCTTTTTTCTCTCTTCTCTTCTCTTCTCTTCTCTTCTCTTCTCTTCTCTTCTCTTCTCTTCTCTTCTCTTCTCTTCTCCCTTCCTTCCTTCCTTCTTTCTTTTCTTTTTTCTTTTCTTTTCTCTTCTTTCTTCTTTCTTTCTTTCTTTTGACAGTGCAAGCGGGGTGGGGTGGCGAGGGGGTGGGGGGAGAGAATCCTAAGCAGGCTCCACGCCCAGTATGGAGCCTGAAGCAGGGCTTGATCTCACAGCCCTGAGATCATGACCTGAGCCGAAATTAAGAGTTGGATGCTTAACCAACTGAGCCACCCAGGCACCCCTGTTAGGAACCGTTTCTAACTTTTTAATGGACATAAGCAAAAGTACTTGTGGGAAATGTGTGTGTGTGTCATCTTTGTAGAAGATATTTGGAATGTAGACCATTTAAAATGCTTAGAAAAAACTTTTTCTTTTTTCCTTAGGAACGAATGATCACACACTTTGAAAGGTCCAAAATGGAATAAAAAAAATGGGAAGATGTGCAGTTGAAGATGGGCAATATCTGGGAAGAGATCAGCTTCTGTGTTAATCTTCTACACTCCGTGGAATTAAAGGAGGCAGTGAAACTTGATCTGTTCCTTGACCTTTGTGCATTGGAGCTGGTGAGAGGTGTCAGAACAAGGAGAACATCTTACTGAAAACAAGTTCATAGGATGAGAAAAATCTACAAGTGTTTTATTTACAACATTGATGCCCCTTTTCTTCCCACACCCAGACATGGATGTTTATGCAACTTATGTGTGTTGTTCCTGAGCCTTCTATAATGTTTAAATTGTTTAATCTATCAAACTAAAAAGTTTAACATCTTCTAAAGAACTATGACAACAATGCCATAATATGTAATCTCCAGGAGCAACTTCCTATAATTTTAATTTATTTAGGGAGCTACATAGGTGATGGGGAAATTGTTAATTATTTTTCCGTTTCCTGAGAAGCCACGGTTACGTCTTGCAGAGGTAGCTTGAAGACAAAAAGAATCCTGAGTTAAGGAGCCATGGTTCTATCGATGATTTAAAACAAAAAGAAGAGTGTGCAAGAAAGAAACCTGTTACAGTATGATTCAGATCATTTAAAAAAAAATCAAGTGCAATTTTGTTTACAAATGGTGTATATTAAAAGATTTTTCTATTTCAGATGTACTTTAGAGAGAAATATTAGCTTAACTCTTGACATCTGCTATTGTGACACATCCCATTGCTGGCAATGCGGTGCACACTCCAGAACTTTTAACTACTGTTTTGTAAGCCTCCAAGGGCAGCGGCATTGTGGAATCCTAGGCAATGCTTTGTTTGCCTTCATGCCATTCACTGGGTGTTGCACTAGATGCAAAGAGGCACTCCATCTAAGTGCTTATGAGTGAGCGCCCTGCTAAAGGAACTGTAATGCTTAAGCAGGAGCTAATACAAAGGAAACAGGTCCTTCTGGCTTAATTGAAACAGTTTTTCCTGCATGAAGTAGTGTGGAGGCCCTGGACTGCTGCTCATTCTTTAGGATTGACTGTTCTTATACCTGGTGTTGGTTTAGAGACTGTTTATAAGAGACATCACAAGGTGATGGGATTCATTTGAAGCACTATATTTCTGTTTTAATGGTTTTGTCAATTTTGCCTTCCCAAGATTTTTGTTCTACGTAGAAAGTTCATGCCACTTTTTAATATAAAAAAGTCTTAACAAAATTAATATATTTTCCTCATTTTTTTTCGGACTTGCCTCTAAAGACCCTTCTTCCTTCTAAACTCTTGTGGGAATTTTTCTTCCATGGTTTTTGTTCTACATTGTCTTATTGTGAAACCAGGGACCACATGACCGCAATCTTTACTGTAAACTCATAAAATAGTGAAAGTGTTTACATTTATTTAACATCTCTCTATAGCTGTTTGCTGTGGTGATTTAAAAAAAAAAAAATCACCTGGGCAATATATCTAAGGAACAATATGAAGAACTGACTCTATTCTCAGGTTAACCCACTAGCAAAAGGCTATTGGTACTATTGTGTGCTTCTGTTCTTCCATACTGAAACTTAGCAAGTGAAAAAGAGTTATAATGCAGCAAGATAGTTGGTCAAATATTTTCTGACGGTGGTTAGATGTTGACTTAAGGCTAGGGAAAAAAATCATATTGTCTAAGCAGGAGTGTATGGTAAATTATGTAGGCTGGGACTTGATAATTCTGTTTTCTTTTAATGGGTTATGTCACTGTGATTAGATATAGTGTATTATTTCTTAAAACTGGTTCTGAAGTAATTTATAGTATTATATTGATCTATTTAGTACTTAGTCCTTGGGCCTGAAACTATTAGGTATTAGTCCTTCTTCAAGGACAGCAGCTGGCAATTCTAAATTTTCAAGGTGTTCAATTTTCTGTGGTGAAAATCAGCCACAACACTTGATTTATTTAGCAATTTTTGTGTTAGTATTAACACCTTGAAAATATTTCACCGGATTATCAGACATAGCATTTGGTAAAGATGGGACAACTATCCTAATTTACAAGTGAAGAAACTGCCATTGTATAAAAATGAAGTGAAGGAGGGGGGGAATAAACTGACCAAGGCCATTTTTTTTTTTTTGCTTCTTATCATAGACTCACCCCTTTTTTCATTAACATTTTTGCTTTAGATCCAAATGCTTGCTTTTATGACCTACCTCCCATTTCCTGTGGGGGCGGGGACGGGGAATGGGGGGGGTGGAGCTGCCATATTCACCTCATTGCGGTGGTTTTCAAATTTTAAAGTGCATGGACTCACTTTGGGGACTTACTAAAACACAGACTGCTGAACCCCCCAACTCCAGATATTCTGATTCAGTAGGGCAGGAATGAGGCCTGAGACTGCATTTCTAACAAGTTCCGAGGTGGTGGTGATGCTACCGGTCTAGGGATCACACTTTGAGAACTACTGCCCTAGAACAACCTTTAAAAAAGGGTAAGATACTTGAACTGGTTGAGATTATAATGGTAATGCAAAAACCACCATTTACTGGGTGTTTAGAGTGGGTCAGGAATTGCTAAGCAGCCACAACGCTAGGTTAGCGCGGAACACTACCATCTTTTTGCAGATAAGAAAAAGCCTCTGGAGATTGATTAAACGTCACAGCTAATTTCCTAAATGGCGGATCTCCATCCTGGCTAGCAAGCCGAAGCCCGAATTCGCTGCCTGAGACAGTTACAAGATTTTTTTCCCCCTTTTTTGTTAAATCCCATATCGCTAGTCGGCTCCATGACTTGGATCCCGGGGGAAGGCGGGGACCCAAGCGCCGGCGCCTTCCTCAAAGGCGCTGGGGCGGAAAGGGCGGGGCTTCTGCGGAAGAGGCGGGCTTAGCCCGGCAGGAAGTCCGGTGTTGATGGCTGTGTTGTACGGCCTGTAGCTGGGGTCTCGGTCCAGCCTCACGGTTGGCCCTTTCACTGGGCTGGTTCCCGGCCCAGGCCCAGCCCGGCCCATTTCGGGTGAGACTGCTGTGGTGACTGCTCGCCGCCATGCACGACGCCTTCGAGCCAGTGCCAATACTAGAAAAGCTGCCTCTGCAGATCGACTGTCTGGCTGCCTGGGGTGAGCTGAGGGCCCGAGGGGCCGAGGCGGGGTCAGCGCAGAAGCTGTTCCGACCTTTCACAAGGCTGGGAAAGTGGACAGGCATCTGGATGTATGAACTACGGTCTGACTCTGTCCGAAAGAAACCTGGGATGAGGGAAGGCATAGTATTGTATGTAGACAGCGAGAGCAGTGGGACTGTTTGGGCAATCCTCAGGGACCCAGTCATTTTAGGTGCGACTCTTGCTTTCGATACAGAGTTGAAGGTTGAGCTTTTCTTATTGACTGCTCAGCTTTGGCTCCTTTCGATTCCCAATAAGTCTTCAGTTTGGAGGGGCAGGCACTGGGGAGTTTTCAACTTGCCCGGGGCCTGAATTGTCCAGATGATTCTGTTGTTTTCTAGATGAAAAACAACACTATTTGGGGGGCACTAAATGCGTTAACACCATATGCCTTTTTTCCCTTAGTGATCACTCATTGTTCACTTCTCATTACTGTAGGTAACTCACATTGTTGTTCTAAACTCAGTCTAGCCAAGTGGTTGATTGCCTTATATTCAAAGTGCCCAAGCTACATAACTATGTAGGTAGAAGAGCATCATTTGAGGCTGTCATGAAACCCAACCTATTAAAAATTTGTGTAATCCTCTTGGGATTGGCCAGTACAGAAAGCAGGGTCCGGCATCTCTTGTATGCTCTAGAATACAAATGGTTTCAGGGCTCTAAACCTTGACTCTTAATTGTGAACATTATGCTCTTAGAGTGGTTGTGTCTGATAACAGTCACGAAAGACCAAACAAATAATTTCAGTCTTTCTTGTTAATGTCCAGTTGCTAGAAATCAAGGGCCATAAAAAGGTGGTTCAGAACTCTTAATCAGATCTTATACTGAGTTAGGTACCCAAGATGGGCCTGGTGGAATCTGGTGGTGGCTGGCATCTTCTACATCAGTTATGGACATTGCCACCCAGGCAGTCTTGCAGACTTCCTCACAGCCTTTTCAGTAGGGTGCTTTCACTACAGCTCTTCATGTTAATGTGCACAATCTTGCCTCTAGCAACCCTGGGCTTCTTCAAAATCACACCCCCACAGTAAGCTGTCCTAGTCGCTTGGGTTAAGGAGAGAACCTTGCTTCCTCCAGATATTTCAAGAAAACCTCCATTTTCTGTTATTAGATACTCAGCAAAAATTATAAATAGAGGAGAAAAGAAATTTAAAAAATGAAAGACTTGACACTGCACAAAGGGACACATTTCCCTAATTCTTCATCAAATATGTATTAAATGCCTATATGGACCAGGTTCTCTGCTAAAGACAAGGATAAAAGGGTGAATAAGAAACAGTGCCTGTGCTCCTAGGACACACAGTGAGGGACAAAGTCATAGGAACAGATTATGATACAAGATAAATGATACTGGAGGCATATGCTGCCTATGATAGAAACATGGAGGAGGGGTACCCACCTCAGCCTAGGACATAACGCTTCTGGAAGGGGTGAATGCAGCTGCTTACCATGCTTTACGTAGCTTGCCAGAATCCTTGACTGATACCCTGTGGAACTAATAGTACATGTATCTCAGCCTCTCACCAATCCACTTTGTCACAGTAAAGATTCCCTGTACTTGAGCTTTTCAGAAAGATAGTTTGGAAATGCTAGGTAGCTCTATCTCCCACCCTACATGAGAAATGCTTATTATCTTCTAGGATGCTATGGTAGGTATTGGGCTACAAGAGGCTATTTACCACCTCTTGACTCAAAACTGTTTCCGGACTTAAGCAGCAGTGAATGTTGCTATATCCAGTTGTTACCCCTTTTACCTGAAATTCATCCAGGAATCTTCCGAAGCCAGATCATGCAGGGCTAGACAATATTCGAGAGACACCATAATCCATCTCTTGGGAAATGGAAATGAGGATACTGATGATGATGACTTCTCCCTAAACTCCAGGGTTGTAGAACCCAGCTGCCTTTTCTGCACCTTCATATGGGTGTCTAATAGCATGGCCTTAATGGTTCTTGATTCCACTCTCCCAAAACATGCTTGTCCCCCTGTATCCCACATCTCAGCAAATGACATTTCTGTTTACCCATTTTGCTGATGATTTTGGAATCATTCTTCATTTCTCTTGTACACCACATCCAGTCCATATACAAATCTTGTCTGCTCCACCTCCAGGATAAGTCTAGCATCCAGTCACTTCTCTCCATCTGCACTATTTCTGTTCTGATGAAAGCACCACCTCTCTCATCTGAATTACTGTAGTAGTCCTCTGACTGATCACCCTTTGTTTGCCATTGTGCCACTTTCAGTCTTTTATCCACACAGAGGAAGAGTGATCCCTTGAAAACTTAATCTGATCACATCTGTCCTCTACTCAGAACCCTTCAGTAGCTTCCTGTCACAACTAGAATAAGTTCCAGAGTTCTTGCTGTGCTTTCTGCACCTGACATAATCAGGCCTATGGTTCCCTCCCCTTATCTACCCCACCTGTGCTCTTACCCCTTGCCCCATTCTCCTACTAGTCACACAGTCTTCCTTGTTCCATAACACACAAAGCACGTACCTACCTCGGGGCTTCTGCACTTATTCTTTTCCTCTGCCTGGCACTCTCTTGCTCTAAATACTACATGCCTCATTCCTCATTTCCTTCAGATGTCTGCTGAAATGTCACATAAATGAAGAAGACCTTCCCTAACGATGCTATATAAAAGACAAGGTGCTATTTTCTTCCTCAGCCTTATCTTTCTTCTTCTCATGGATTGCTCCCTAGTGCTATTTTATGTTATATTATTGTCTCCATATTAGAAAATAAATTCCTTCAGAGCAGGAGCTTTGTTTTGTACATTGCTTTATTTGTAGTTCCTAGAATAGTTCCTTAAAATTGGTATTCATTAAATCTTTCAGTTGAATGAATGAATAAATAAATGATGATATTAATAGTAATAGCTTCCATTTATTGAGCACTACTCTTTATTAAGCTTTTATGAAATAATAACTCCATTTTGCAGAGGAATAACCTGAGAATTTAAGTCATTTTTGCAAGGTCACATATCCAGTAAATCATGTCTGATTCTGGACCCTGGTTCCCAAACTTTAATATATATTCAGAACCTGTAAAAAAAAAATGCAGATGTTTGTATGTATGTGTATCTGTATGTGTGTCTACACAATCATTCTATTTTCCAAAGAAACAGTAGGCTAAAAAGGACTAAGATGGTTGCCTATAGCAGAGGGAGAAAACAGGGAGAGTGGGCAAGGATGGAAGCTGGACTTCTCACAGTTTTAGCATTGAAACTACATAAATCCATCATATAATTAAAAAATTGAATTTAAAAAATGCGGATTTCAGGTCACCACTGCAGAATTATTATGTCAGAATCTCTGGGAACAGCACTCAGGAATGTGCATTTTTAATAAGTTCACATGATTCAGTTGGAGCTAAAAAGGCTTATGCTTTAAGGAACACTGTTCTTTGCCCTGTGACCCAGAAAAGGGAGGTGACCACTACCTTTTTCATTTCTGTATTCCCTGCAGTGACCAGCATTGGGCCAGGAATGGAATTGTTCATCACATGAGCTTGGACTAGGTTGTACTGTTGGACAGAGCTTCATTAGGGTAATTATGAGCAAGATGGCCCAGCACCTGCTCACTTTGCAGGAGGAATAAAGGCCAACCTTGTGGCTCAGGATTAGGCTGTCAGGAATTTTCTAGGGCTGATTCACATTTGTTTATATATGTGTTACCCACAGACTACACTGTTTTTGTAGTGTGGCCCACTTTCTGATTTGCTGTGTTGAATCTCAGAAGGGACTGTCTACCCCATTCTGTGTCTGCTCTGCAAGTCTCTCATTCTCTGTGTTTTGTATCCATGATTGTATTATATGATGACATGTCATAGAATGGGGAGGCCCAACATGGGTCAGGTCGTCGGTCACCCGAGCCCCCCCACTGACTTTTTTTAATTAATTTTTTTTTCTCAAAGATTTTATGTATTTATTTCAGAGAGAGAGAGAGAGCAGGAGTAGGTGGGTGAGGGGCAGATGGAGAAGCAGGATCTCCAGTAAGCAGGGAGCCCATGCGGGGCTTGATCCCGGACTTGAGCCGAAGGCAGACACTTAATCGGCTGAGCCACCCAGGCACCGCAACCCTCACCCCCACCCCTGACTTCTCTAACCACGTCAAGTCTCTTCAAGGTTGTGTGCTATTAGTGCATCTGGGATGATGCGCTGTTTTCCTTTACACGTGTGAGGATTAGGAACGTGTGTGTGGTGCTTTTACTATTTAAAGGAAAGTTGTTACAATACTTTACATGTATGATAAATGCATTTTTTCCTCAGCATCTTCAAATGAAAGTGTGAAAAGGGTTAAATAAACCTCAATTAAAATTTTTTTTAATTTTAATGAATTTGTCTGATTCTGTTTTCGGACCAATAGACATTTGATAAGAAACATCTATTGGCAAGTAAACATTTCAATAAAAATGGAAAGACCCGTGAATGTCATGCTTATGAGTTTTACTTCATATTTTGGTAGTGCAGCTTCATGAGGATTTAAGCCCCAGTGTGACAGAATCACAGATGTGCTCTAAGTAATGTACAGCAAACATGGAAGAACACGTATAGTGAGAGCAGTTGAGGCCATCACAGGGGTCCCTGGACGGACTGGGATATGGCTGTTGTGAGGTACGCTGTAGAGGTAAAATTGATAGGCCTTGCAGACCTGAGTGTTAAGATGAGGCTGTTAAAAGAGATAAAAACAGAAACTGGTAGGGATTTGGGGAGCAGAGTAGGGAGGAAAGAATGGGGAAGATGGTGAGTATTCTTTTGGCCTTTTGGTTATAGATTTTTATGTATGTTACAAGTGAGTTAAAATTTCTACCTCATTTTATTTATATTTGAAATAGCAGTGGGTGTCCTGAAAATCAACTTCAGTATTCCCAGTTGCTCAATACAGTGATATCTATATAAGTAGAACTCTAAGCGCAGTATCTTTTACAAAGCAAGCATTGTGAACTTGCTTCTTTTGTTTTCTGTGTTCTCCAACCTTCTTTTATTTATTTATTTATTTTTTATTATGTTAACCACCATACATTACATCATTAGTTTTTGATGTAGTCTTCCAACCTTCCTTTAGAGCTAGTGTTATTTCTCATTTCTCTTATGTCATTAAGAGCACACACTGTCTTACTTTCTATGTCCTGCCTTTGCTTTAAAACACAAAAGGAGTGAGAATCACTATATTTTTCTGGAAGACTAAGGACAGCAACCTGGAAAAATGTTCCTGATGTGGCTTCTGACCTGTTTTTATAAATACAACCAGTGCCTTTCAGACAGCCTCTGGCCAATACCCATTCTTTTGACATAGGATGCCTTCATAATTGCATCACAGCTTGTGGTTACATCCTGACGCTTTTACACACATCTTCCTCCATGTATGACTCTGGACAAATTACTTATCCCCTAGGCCTCAACTTCCTCATCTATAAAATGGGTATTTATAAGAAGAACATACCTCAAAGGATAGTTGGGAGGATTAATGAAGTAACATATGATATGTGCTTTGCATTTCCTGGAGCACAATGCATGCTCAATAAAGTTAACAGTTTGTACCATTATCCAGTATTTTATCTTGTAGACGATCAAGAGAGTTTATGCAAGGGATGAATGACCTTTTACAGTATCCAGAAGCTCAGAAGTGTCTGTACATGCTTAAATTCCCTTAATGAGTTAATATAGATCTATCAGGGTAATTATTTAAACCCTCTTTGGAGCCTCTTTTAGCATAGACCAGTGTCTCCCAAAATGCAGTCCTTGAAACAGCATTAGCATCACCTGGGAACTTGTTAGAAATGGACATTTTCAGGCCCACTGCAAGACCCACTGAATCAGAAACTGAGGGCAGGGCCCAGCAATCTGTTTTAACAAATCGTCAAATAATTCTGATACATACCAAAGAACCGCTGGCCTAGACCATCTCTCTCTCTTTTTTTTTTATAAGAGCTTTATTGAGATGTAATTCACCTATCATACAGTTCACCCAGTTAAAGTGTACCGTTAAGTGGTTTTTTGTACATTCACAGAGTTGTCCAAGTATTGCCACAATTTTAGAACATTTTCATCACCCTAAAAAAAACCCCATACCCGTTAGTATTTATTCCTCCATTTTCCTGTCAACCCACCAACCTTAGGCAGCCACTAATCTTTTTGTCTCTATACATTTGACTATTCTGATATTTCATATAAATAGAGTCATAAAATATGTAGCCTTTTTTGTCTGGCTTCTTTCATTTAGCATAATGTCAGGTTCGTCCCTATTGTAGCATGTATTAGCACTTCGTTCCTTTTAATGGCTAGCTAATATTCCATTGTATGGATTTGCCACATTTTGTTTATCCATTCATCAGCTGATGGACATTTGGGTTGTTTCTACCTTTTGGCTGTTACAGATGCTGCCGCCCTGAACATTTGTATACAAGTTTTTGTGTGGGCATATGTTTTCATTTCTTTTGTGTGTATGCCCAGGGGTAGAATTGCTGGGTCATATGATGACTCTGTATAATCTTTTGAGGAACAACCAGACAGTTTTCCAGGGTGACCGCACCATTTTATATTCCTGCCAACAATGTGTGAGGGTTCCAATTTGCTCACTTCTTTGTCAACACTTGTTTTTTATCTGCTAGACCATCTTTTAAGATAATGAATTCTTGGCACTTCTTATTTTCCCTAAAGTAAAAGCATTAAACCTTTAAAGGATGCCATTAGTTTTGTTTCTGATACTAGTTTCCTAGTTTCATGTTTACACTATCCATTTTATAATTTTATAAATTTTCATCCTATTTTTGGTCAGTTTAATTTTGAAACACTGAAGGCAGGGACATTTTCCGTCAGTAATGGGTCAGTGATGATACTTTTTTGATGGGTTGGTTCTCAAACATTTCTTGAATATAAATATTCCTTAGCTTTGCAAAACACCAGCTATCAAAAGCAACTCATTTTCTTGACCCTTTGATTTCTGATTACAAACCCCAGCTCAAGAAATAGGGTTTTAACTAAAGCTGATTGACCTTTCTCATCACTCTTTTCTCTTCCAGAGGAATGGCTTCTTGTTGGCACCAAACAAGGACATCTTCTTCTCTATAGGATCCGGAAGGATGCTGGTAAGTGGCAGCTCTCCAGCATCGAGAGAGGTGACTTATTACTCATGCAAAATTGTGATAGTCAGCTAGTATACAACTGTGAAATCAGTGATTCCTGGGCCATTAAAAATGATTGGGGTTGAAAGTAGTACAGTGGGAAAGTGGGGAGAAGCATGAGAAAATCTCTAGGGTTTTTGTTTTGTTTTTCAGACTCTATTCCCCTACCCTGATCTGGAAGGTGAGGTTGAGTGTTCCTCCCCTCCTTGCTTCTAGGAGACTCACTGTCAGAAATAAGACATATTAGTGATGCGAATAAGATTTTTGTGTGAATGATGTGGTAGTAGGAAACAAAATTAGGAACCATTGATTTAACAACTTTTGTTAACTTGTGAGGGGTGGACTGGGAGAGAGGAGGCCTGGGTTTGAGCCCAGCTTTCCTTCTCCTTGGCCGAATGACTGAGCAGGTCCTTTCCAATGTCATTTTCCTCTTCTATAAACTGTCTGTCTCACAAAATTGTTGGGGTCAGACTTTGAAAAGTAAAGCTCCAATCAAATGTGACTTCATCAGTAAAAATGTAGAATAATAACTAAAGTATTTGAAATTTATTTTGTTAGGGTTTCCTCTGTTGGAGAAAAAGCACCTCACTTCCTTTTCGTGATTTTATTTCTATGTTCTCTTTATGGAAAATTGATGTGTTTGGATAATATAACTTGGAGCTCCAGTCTGTAGAAATCTGCTGTTAATGCCAGAGTGTGTTAAACCATATGAAATTGTCATTATTTGACTGTATTAGAAAAAGCTAAATTTCATAACTTTCAACCCAGTAAACTTTCTGTAGTAAATAGCTTAAGGGAAGAGTGGAGCCTGGAGCAAGGGTAACATGGGAAAAAAGGACATCTTTCTTGGGCATGTGGGGACAGTTTCCTTCTACCCATTTTAGGTTCCTTGGGTGGGAACATGTAAATAAATTGGACTGACAAAAGACAGACTAACAGGGGAAAACCAAACAAGTGTATTAACGTGTATTACACGTACACGTGGGAACACTCAGTGATGGGTTACTCAAAGGGGTCGTTGGAATTTGGGCTTATATAACATCTTAACAAATGAACAACAAATTTTTAGAGAAAGGATAAGACAAAGGAAAAGGACTTTTGAGTTTCTAGGATGGCAAATTGTTAGAAGGCAGAGACATGCGGGAACTAGTGGAATAAGGATGAGTAAGTGAAGTTTGTCAATAGATTGCCCTGGTGTCCTCTCTGGGCTGATGAGGGTCTAGAGCTGTCTCCACTGATTAAATTCTGTCCTCGGTAGAGAGGGGAGGAGGGACACCTTTGTAAATCTTTGTTCTGTTTTTAGGCAAATTAGAGGTAGGGAGAGAGCCTTTCTTTATCTGCTTCTCAGTTGCCTTCAGCTCAAAATAATCCTTATCCCAAAGTGGCATATTTTGGGGGGACCTATTCTACTACCCATCACCGGTGGAATAGGGAAAGACGAAGGCACCTGGTCAGAAAGAGAAACCAGAAGTCAAAGCAGAGGGTGTATTTCATTTCTGAGTTTTTCAACTTTCCTTTAAATCAGGGGTCGGTAAACTTTGTTCCCAAAAGGGCCCAAAAATAAATAGTTTAGGCTTTGTAAGCTCTGAGATCTCTGTTGTGACTACCAACTTTGCTATTTTAGCAAAAAGCAGCCATAGACCGTGTGCAAAGGAGTGGCGTGGCTGTGTTCCAACAAAACTTTATTTATAAAGACATGTCGAGGGCTGGATTTGGCCCTGGGGCAGTACTTTGCTTGCCCTTCCTGTAAATTTTTAGTTCTCAGGGCCAGAATATTTCCATTCTGTGACACCTATTGGACTATAATTTAAAAATTAAGCTTGCCTTGGATTTTATTCAGCATATGACAACCATGATTTGACTGTCCACCATAGGCTCAGATACTGTGCAGGGCAGGGAGATAAGAGAGCTCAATATTCTTTACTCCAGTAGATAAGCAGTTCTTCGTAGCATCAAATACTAAATACCGAGATAAAGTGATTTGTTTGATAGGTCATTGCTATATAAATGGTAGGGAATTGAAAACTAGACTGTAAGAGTAAATCTCAACACAGTATGGACTCAAACTGGTAATATTAGTGCTAATCTGACTTGGAACTTTAGTGGTGATTATTCCATGCCCTGTGATGAGTTTACCAAGTGACTTTTGAGACCTTAATTCCTGGGGCTCAATTTCTGCATAGGTAACTTGAGTAGCAGTGCCACCTGCCTTAGACAATTGGGAATCAAGCTCTGATTAGAAACTTGACTTCTCCCTATACCCTTAGAGAACAGTTCAGTTCTGGCTCAGCTCTTGCCTATTTATGGCCCAAAATAGAAATAGATTTGGGCCTCCATGAATCAGCCATAGAACTAACTTGGTTTCTAAGTTTGAGATATTCCAAACCTAAATAGGGCTGCAACCAGACTGTCTTTCTGAGGAAAGAGAGAGGATGATAAGATGTCATGGAGAGGCTGGAATTAAGGGGACTTGGGATCAGATGTGAGTCATCTTCTTTGAGCTCGGAAATACCTCTAGGCCTCATTTTACTCCTCTCTTAAACAGAGGTGTTAGATTAGCTCACATCGAATGTCTTAACAGCTTCAGGTTTACCTCAGTGGTGCCGTCACCTTAGAGCAGTTGTTCTCAAAGTGTGGTGTGTAGACCCCACGGGGTCCCCAGGATCCTTTCAGAAGGTTTACCAGGTCAAAACTAAGTTCACGGTCCCACTAAACCTTTTTTTCACTGACATTTATTGACAACTGCCCTGGTGGTAGCTAGAACTGCTGGCCCTTAGCGTAAGTTCTGGGTAGTGGTTAGTGAGCTTGTTGGCACGTAACTGTTCTAGCAGTCGTTGTGTTGTTCTCTAGCTCGCTCTCACTGTGGTTTTTGTTTTTTTAAACCAAGTTTCACCTAAGGATGTTCTTCGTGTGGCAATAAAAATTATTTTATTATATCCTGATCTTTGAAAACACTTCTTTTTAATAATGTCTGATGTAGTGAGAAGTGCTGTGTGCCAAGGTATGAAGCACAGTGGCTGTTTTGGGAAGAAGTACTTGTTTGAGCTGGGAGCTGAACTGGCTGCTTTTTACATGGAGCATCTGTTTTGCTTAAAAGAATGACTGACAGACTATGGTTTTGTACACCATTTGGGTGTTTGGTACATGTTTTCTTAAAAAACGAACAAAGGAATCTGTCATGTCAAAGAAAACAAATGGAAATATTTGTGGCTGATAGGCTGGGGCATTCAGTAGAAAACTAGAATTGTGGAAAAATTATATCCACCCCCATGAGCTCGATAGCTTCTCAGTACTTTGCTGATGACATTGGGGGTGATAATGAGTATGATTTCATACATATATGTCCATATATCTGTGTCTTATAACAAAATGTGCCAACATTTGGAAAATCTGTGTAACTCTGAACAATATTTTCCAGTGCTTGAAGTTTCTAAATCATGCATGAGTAAAAAATCCATGTAAAGTGTAAGACAGGGGTTACTTGGGTGGCTTAGTCAGTTAAGTGTCTGACTCTTGATGTCAGCTCAGGTCTTGATCCCCGGGTCATGAGTTCAAGCCCCATGTTGGGCTCCATGCTGGGCGTGGAACCTACTTTAAATAAATAAATAAATAAATAAAGTGTAAGATAGACTAACAGACTTTAATTTGACAGAAAGTTTCATTAATAGGTTTCAGATTCCCCAGTGAAAGAAACTCCATTTGTCAAGTTTTCATATGGTATCAAAGAAGATGGACAGTTATCTGAAAAAGCTTTAAAATATTCCTCCATTTTCTAACTCTGTCCATGTGAGGACATGTTTGTCATATCCTTTAATCGAAACAGTGTATCAAAATATTGAGTGCAGAAGCAGATGTGAAAGTCCACAATCTTCGATTAAGCCAGGCATTAGAGAGAATTACAAAAATGGAAAGCAATGCATTTTTTTAATTTGGAAAAATAGTTATTCTTTAAAATGTTATTTATGCTAACATGTAATGGGCTTACTACTAATATTAAAAAATGAGTTAATAAATACACATTTTTAAAATTTCTCAGTCTTAATTTCTACCATGGTATACATTGATAACTACAACCCATGTTAGAGTTTTGGGATTCTCAATAATTTTTTTTTTAATTTTTTTTATTTATTTGACAGAGAGAGAGAGACAGCGAGAGAGGGAACACAAGCAGGGGGAGTGGGGGAGGGAGAAGCAGGCTTCCGGCAGAGCAGGGAGCCCGATGCGGGGCTCGATCCCAGGACCCGGAGATTGTGACCTGAGCCGAAGGCAGACGCTTAACGACTGAGCCACCCAGGCGCCCCGGGATTCTCAATAATTTTTAAGGCTGTGAAGGAGTCCTGACACCACAAAGTTTGAGAATCTCAGTCCTAGATAATTCTGCTTATGAAGAGAATCGTTAGAAGTAATAATAAAGCCCTTTTCAGATAGAGAACTGTTTATCAAGCAGGAAGTGGCTGAATTTTTTTTTCTTGTGAAATATAATGGCAGACTACAGGGCACGTTTCTGAATTTCCTGCAACTCCAGAGCCCCTGCATCTCCTCTGCTGAGGGACATGTGGAAGAAGTAAGACCAGCTTTGGTGGCATGGGCCCTTGTAGTTGCCTCGGAGATACTCCACAGACTTCTGGGCCATGGACCACACTAGCTGTGGGGAGCAGCTCGGGGTCAGCAATGTGAACAGTCTCTTCACAAGCTGGGAGGCAGGTGGCAGGGTGTCGGCTCAGCACATGGGCTTTACGGTCGGCTCCAAGTTTGCTTCTGGGCTGTCTCTCCCTGACGGCTACCTAACTACTTGACCTGTCAGGTCCCTCACATACGAAATTAGAATAATAATAATACCGACTTCTTGGGGGTAGTTGTGAGGTTATAGGAAATATATATAATTTTTTTTTAATAATTTTTTTATTGTTATGTTAACCACCATACATTACATCATTAGTTTTTATGCTGGAAATATATATAAATTTTTAAATCCAGAACGTGGCACTTAGTTATTGGTTAGTTTGTGATAACTGCTGTAATTATTATGATAATTATTCTCTTTTTGACCTTTTGGTGACTTTTGAGGCTGAATGTTTTTTTCATCTCCACAAGGCAGGCATCACATGTTTTTATGGTATGTCACTTTCTTCCCTTTTTGTAACAGTGCCAACTGATGTAGCATCTCCTGAGAGCAGCAGTAAGTGTAGATGCATTAAATCGCTTTAGCTGAGGGGATAGTGTTTGCTCTGTCCCATGATGCAGGACATAGGGTAGCTGCTGGGCTTTAGTTGGTCTAGATCTAAGGATGCTCCGGGCTGGGTTTCATTGCTTGGGCTTTGGTATTTGACTGTTACTTTTTACAGACACTTAGCCAAGGTACTGTTTTGTAGGATAAGACCTTCAGACTCACAAGTACCTTGGCAGTTTCAGTGAATTTCTGTGGTATGATTCTTTCTGCTAATGCCAAGTGAAGGTACATGAAACCCTCTGTTCTAAAATTGGAGTTGAAAGCAGCTTCCTGTACTCAGTGAAGACAGCTGTCTAGTGTAGATCTCCAGCTTCCAGTCTTTAGGAATTTTTAGATTCCCGCAGGAACGTGGAGCAGCATTTTTTGTTGTGGTTATTTTTACATGTTTGGAACTGTGAATGTTTGTTTCTTTTCCATAGGTTGCAACAGGTTTGAAGTGACATTAGAGAAATCCAATAAAAACTTCTCCAAAAAGATTCAGCAGGTAGGCAGTGATAGTGGTAACTACAAGAATATTTGATTTCCATGAGACCCTGTCAAAGCTAGAACTTTGATAATATTATTTATTAACTCTGAATCTTCTGCTGTCTGTTCTCCCATTTATTCAGGGATCTGGGTTCATCCATCATGTGCCTCAGATCCTCTATAATGAGCAGAAATTGTAATTGCACATAGATATCAGTCAGATCCCTGTCATTGGCAAAGACTCTTTAGTCCCTTTTTAGTACTGTACTTAAATGAACATTTGTTAAGCCTTGTTGGAAATGTTTAATTGAGTCTCATGATTTGTTCTTTTCCAGATCCACGTGGTTTCCCAGTTTAAGATTCTGGTCAGCTTGTTAGGTAAGAAAAGGGGTTGCAGTTGTATCTCCTGTGTCAAAAAACAAAAGCTGTGACCTGATTAATCACACTTTCATGGTTAATTTGATAGACATTGAAACTGACCTGTTCCAAACCAGACACAGCAGGGTAACACAGGTATTAAAGGCAACAGCATCCCTCATAAACTTGAGCTCTGGTCTCCATGGAGTGTCATTCATTCATTCATTCATTTATTCAGTCATCTAGCAGATATTTATTGAGCTCTGCTCTAGGCATTTGGGATACCAAGTTGAATGAGACATGGTTTCTGTCTTTGAGATTTATGTTCTGATTGTGAAGACTGAAATGACAGAAAGTAATCATGATACAGTGTGATAAATTACAGTGGAAATTTATAAAAAATGTTATGGATCTTAGTAATGGGAAAGACAACATCATCTAGTGGATGATTAGGATTTTGACAGGAAGAGAGAGGAAGGCAGAGCATTTTAAGCAGAGGCCCTGGATTCTGGCCAGACCTAGGAAGTGTGGTGGAGAGCGGCAGAGTGGCAAGAGATAGGGGAGAGACACATCAAGGCCAGACTATTCAGGCCTCATTTGAAAAGCCATAGATTCAATTGAAGGCAGCCAGCAAGTCCTTTTCTTAACAAACAGAGGACTAGAAACTTGCCTCATGCTTTCTACTGTTCAGCCCAGGGCCCACATGGTAGAATCATTTTTAAACTAAGTTTCTAGGTGGAGAGAGAAACATTTAAAGTAACTAAATCTTCAGGAGTAAAACTAGGTAGGAGGCCCGAGTGAAATTATTTTGCTTGCTTTGCCAGAAAAGAAATCCTTGCCATGAGATTGTACCAAATCCACAGAGGATTTCCTTTCTTCCGCTGAGGCCTCCTAATGGAAGTAGCTTTGAGAGTCTGTTCTTGTACAAATAATGCATCACAAATTTCCAGACTTGAAAAAGACAGAGTGTAAGATTGCTTTGGTAGCGAGAGAGCTCTTCTGCTTCAGCCAGCCCGAATTTAAAGGAACAAAAGTTACCTCTAACATTTTGTAATGTAATTCTGATAACAGGCCAGAATAAATCATTGTTAGTGAAACCGAAGATACATCTTCAACCAACACTTGCCATTTGGTTCTTCTCATCATTAGTTATTTTTGTGTGTGTAGAGAATTGTGATAATTTATACTTGTTATACCTCCTTCCAAACAGAAAATAACATTTATGTCCATGACTTACTGACATTTCAACAAATCACTACGGTTTCAAAGGCAAAGGGAGCCTCACTGTTCACATGTGACCTCCAGGTAAGTGTAGGCAAGGTGAAATTTGACTTCATGTTTTAATAAATAGGGTTTTTCTTACATTATTCCTACCATTAGGTGGGAAGAATAACATTGATATGCGAATCCAGCAGAGACTCGAGAGAAAGTGTTTGATTTTGGATTGTATTAGAGAAATTTCCCCCTTTGTATGTGGTCTGAAGGGGAAACATTTGGGTTCCCTGTGTTTGTGCTAATTAGAGCACCAGACCAACTAACCCATGATAAAAGCCTTTGCCATGGACAAACCATTAGTGGGGAAATCCAAACTTAACCAGTGTCACGAACATAGCAATGGGACGTTAAGTTCTGAACATATTATTGTATTCTTTGTCTATAGGGGTTTTTTGGTCATTTGAGAAAGACATTTCTTTTTATTTGTGCCAGTTCATCATCCTTACATTATTCAAAATCTGCCTTACCCTTCTACTCAGCTTAGATCACTTTTTAGCCTTTGTGGTCTACATCGACAATGCGTTGTTTTATGCTTGGACCTTTCTTTTCTCCCCCTTCCTTAAAGGATTGAAAGTGGCCACTGACACATGCTGATCCCTGACCAGCATGTATTGACAGCCATGAGTGAGAAACATTTAAGAAAAAAAGGAGTAAGCGGTTACATAGGTGAAGGCCTGCCCTGGGATTTTCCTGTGTGAATTATGAATGTCCTAGAGATTTGGTGGGGTTGGGGTCTTTGGCTGGCAGCCCTTGGGGAGGAAGTGCTCCTCAGCCTATTGTTTCTAAGAAAGTCTTAGAAAAATGGTGTTCTTCCACTCCGTTTGTCTGGCAAGGGTGACTTTGTATTACAGGGGATTTTCAGATTAGTAGCCATTTCAAGGTAGAAAATCTCGAATTTAGCTGTCACTCAGTTATGGAGTCATCGCATACATATCCTCATTTGCTTTGGGTGTCTCTTCCCAGCACACAGAGACCGGTGAGGAGGTGCTGCGGATGTGTGTGGCCGTCAAAAAGAAGCTGCAGCTCTACTTCTGGAAGGACAGGGAATTCCATGAATTGCAGGTGAAGTCCATGTTACCTGGTCCGTGTTGATTCACAGCTTGAAAGTCTTCCTCTTCAGTAATACTGAAGGTCAGGGCCTCCGTCTTAGCGCTCTCTCGGATGAAGGCTCTGCCGTGAGTACAGGGGAGCCTATTCACGGCCACTTGTCAGTCTCCTGGTCTTCAGAGGCAGTGGTAATCCAGTTCTGCAATGTTTATACAGACTGGTCTATTTCAAAGTGGGTTTCACCTTTTCTAAGGGCATCTAGTCATCCAGTTCATGGGTGACATAAATTTTTGTTACAGGTGGTTTCCCGGCCTTGCACTTACAGACTTGTGTTTAGATGAGAGTGAGGGTGATTTTGCAGAGTGGGGGTAGAATAACAGGAAAGTCATAGTTTGTTTTTTGTTTTTTTTTCCTTTTCTTTTAACATCTTTCCATTTGAACTCTTGCTTTCTTTCTTCAGGGGGACTTTAGTGTACCAGATGTGCCCAAGTCCATGGCCTGGTGCGAAAATTCTATCTGTGTGGGTTTCAAGAGAGACTACTACCTAATAAGGGTAAAACTCATTCTTTTGCATATATCATCTATTTACCTGGGGGAGAGGATCATGTGATTTGAACTACAGGTCAAGAGACTGCCTTAAGTAGTGTTTTGGCATAACAGGGTTTGTGTTTGTATGTTTGGTTGTTTTTTTTTATGCTTCTCAGCATCTCTACAAATAGATGTCTGATGCCAGTCAGCATCAACTCTCAATTCTCTACGTAATGAATTATCCACATCCTGTATCTAATTATTGGGACAGATAATTAGGGCTGCTTGCCTCCGTTCAACAGCATTACCATGGACTGTCATCTTAAGGTTTCAGTGCTCAGGAATTATAAACTAATTTTAGTATTAACTTAAGTATTATATTTTTAAGGATTTTGTTTATTTATTTGTCAGAGAGAGAGCACAAGCAGAGGGAGAGGCAGGCAGAGGGAGAAGGAGAAGCAGGCTCCCCACTGAGCAGGGAGCCCGATGCGGAACTCGATCCCAGGACCCCGGGATCATGACCTGAGCTGAAGGCAAACGCTTAACCAACTGAGCCACCCAGGCGCCCTGAGTATTAACTTAAGTATTTTTAAGACTTTGAGTTTCCTGCAACCCAAAATCTTTTAGTATATTTATTTTAAAAATTATTTTTACTTCTTTTTTAAATTTCAAAAGCCACATATGTTAATATAAAAAATAAGGAAATATAGATAAGCAAGATAAAGAAAGTACAAATCACCCATAATCCCTTCACTCAGAAATAATCACTGTTAAACTTTCGGTAGATGAGCTTCCACCTATTTACAAAAATAGCAGGTTATACACATTGTTTTATAACCTCTTTTTCTTAACCTAAGTGGTAAATATCCATTACATTGGTTTTTCTCCTCCATTATGCATACTGCATGTAGAATAGGTTGATATACCATGCATTTCATAGAATAATCCAAATTCCTTAGCTTTATACCCCTCTCATATTCCAGACTTGGCAATTCTAGAAGCCTTTCTCCCCCATCTCCATTTCTCCCCACTTCCCTACTCCCCACCGTGTTAGCTCTTCATTATTTATCTAGTTAATATATTTGTTCTATATTTACATTGTTGGAATGTCCTGATTTTATCAGCATCAGAGTTGCAAACTCTTAGAGGAGTCGCTCCTCTCCAGCTGACTGATGAGCAGAGTAGCAGTGAGGCCTATAGGTGCTGAAAGAAGTCTGTGAAGGCTGGGGATATAGAGCCAGAAGCTGGAGAGTAGGCTCTCTTTCCTCTGACTACCTTGAATGCTGCCATCCTCTTCTTGAGGGTACAGTCTTTTGAGGGTGGGAAATCTTGGTTTAGGCCCGAGCTATTCAAAAATTAGATCAGACAGTAAAATTCATTCTTTTTGATGTACAGTTCTAACAGATGCTTAGAGTCACATAAGGACCACCACAATCAAGATTCAGAGCAGTTCCATCACCCAAAAAATGCCCCCTTGCTGCCCCTTTGAAGTCAACCTCTTTTCCTATGCCCCAACTTCTAGTAATCACTGATCTGTTCTTCATCTCTTATAGTTTTGCCTTTTCCAGAATGTCATATAAATGGAATCCTACAGTATGTAGCCTTTTGAATATGGCTTCTTTCACTTAGCATAATGCATTTGACATCCATCTGCATTGTGTGTGTCATATTCTTTATGGCTGAGTAGTGGTCCATGGTATGGTTGTACTGTGGTTTGTTAATCCATTCATCAGTTGAAGGACAAAGTTGTTTCCAGTTTTTAGCCATTATGAATAAAGCTGCTATAAACATTTGCATATAGGTTTTGGTGTAAACATAAGTTTTCATTTCTCTTGAGCAAGTGCCTAAGGAATGGGATTATTGGGTTGTATGGTAAGTATATATTTAACTTTAGAAGAAGCCAACAAACAAAATGGCTGTACCATTTTGCATTCTCACCAGCAGCGAATGAGAATTCCAGTTGCTCTGCATCCTCACCAGCACTTGACATTGTTAGTTGCCAGGTTAGATGCTTGTCTCTGTGTTAGAGAAAAAGAGAACTTGTTCTATGTTGTGATGACAAAATTTGTCATAACAAACTCCATAATATTTCCTTATGCCAAACAAGGAATATTATTGGCTTCTGTAGGTTCGGGGTTTTATTTGGATTTTTCAGGCCGTGTTCATGCCTCTAGCAAGAGAATGCTGGTTGACTCACTTTGTGTCTTCCTATAGGTGGATGGAAAAGGGTCCATCAAAGAGCTCTTTCCAACAGGAAAACAGCTGGAGCCGTTAGTTGCACCTCTGGCAGATGGAAAAGTGGCTGTGGGTCAGGATGATCTCACCGTGGTGCTCAATGAGGAGGGGATCTGCACACAGAAATGTGCCTTGAACTGGACAGACATACCAGTGGCCATGGGTGAGACCACCATTGCGGCCATTTCCCACTGTGGGCCAGGGCTGTGTGTCATCCTTGCAGAATGGAATTCCATTTATGGCTTTCACAGACTGTGGTTTATAATGTCATTTACTCTCAGTTCCCCTTCTTAGAAGTAGACAAGTGTTTAAAGTTATTAAAAATGGGATATCCTGATTTTTGTAGGAAGCCAGGTTTTGCCCCAGAGGGGGAAAAATATAAACAGAGTTATATGTTTTAGGAAGTGATTGTCTATTGCCATATAGTTTTACTTCTGAGTCCTTTTTGTTTTACCTTCTTTGTAATGGTTTTATTGTGTCCTCTGCCAGATAGACTACATTTGGAAATTAGTGGCAATTCTTTATTTATTCCTGTAATACATGTAACTCAGTATTGAAGTGCTTTTGACGTGGTGGTTATTGCTTCTGTTGTTTTGTAGCTTGGAGGTGCAGATTGCATTTAGATGTAAGTCTTTGGCCTGCACATTAGGTGTTTTTGCTCCTACCCTGCCTCAGGCTCTCAGCAGTGGAATTGCCTGGAAGTGTGTGACCACCCTCGCAGCAATTCATTTTCAGTCAGAAGAGTGAGCATTTTAAAAATAGTTACTGCTGTGGAGTGGGGCATACAGACATGCCATCTTTAAAGACTCTAGCTGGGGAGGTAAGGATAACATCTTGGATAAAGAGAGAAAACAAGTCACTGCTTAAGGTGGTCAGTTGGATGAGTTGAGATTCAGTCGTTCAGAAAGTTCAACTTGCCAGTAAGAAGTTTCATTACATAGGTAAGATTGGAGTAGACCAGGCAGGGAGTTTATGACTTGGCTTGAAGAAAAATTCCTTTCATTCTAGGCAGAAAAAAATAGTTCGAAAAATGATTGGAAAAAAAAAGAAGAAGATAGCAGGAGGGGAAGAATGAGGGGAGTAAATCGGAGGGGGAGACGAACCCTGAGAGACGATGGACTCTGAAAAACAAACTGAGGGTTCTAGAGGGGAGGGGGGTGGGGGGATGGGTTAGCCTGGTGATGGGTATTAAAGAGGGCACGTTCTGCATGGAGCACTGTGTGTCATGCACAAACAATGATTCATGGAACACTACATCAAAAACTAATGATGTAATGTATGGTGATTAACATAACAATAAAATTTAAAGAAAAAATAATTACATAAAAAAATAAAAAATGATTGGAAATGCTCATTTGTGACAGAGCATTACAGAGACTGACCTGGTTAAAACAGGTGGTGTGAATTATGGAGGACTAAGGGTAGGGCCGCTTGTTAGAGGCCCATGCAAAGGTCTGAGATGCCAGTAGATTCCCAACTGGTAGAATGTTTTGGTAAAAGCATCATGTTCTAGGGTAATTATTCTGGTGGTGGTTAGAGATCAACAGATCAGAAGGAAGAAAAGTCAAAAGGACTATATTTTGTAAGGCGCAAGATTATGTATATTAACAAGTTGGAGGGGCTAAGAGCTTCATGAAAAGCTTCATGGTGTTCTGGGGGGCGCTTGTGTTCCCTTCAGAAGAGGAGCTGCGGTAGAATTGATGAAGATGTGTGTAATATGCTTGAAGTATGCTCCCTACTCCCTAGTGTGAGAGTTCCTGTTTTAAAACCTTTGTTAGTGTCCCGTGCCTTTGGCAGTGTTTCTCAAAAACGTTTCTGTGCCTTAACATACCGAGGGAGGGAGAGGGCATTCTTTCTAGGTAGGGTGGGAGAACCACCATCTGACAGGACGAAGACCAAACTTCTTCAGTGGTGTGCATTTGAAACTTCATTTATACTTATGCTCCCGCCTTTACCACTTCACCCAGACTACAGGCATCTTGGACTCCCCTCACCGAGCCGTCATCACCTGCGCTCTTGCCTCTTTTCTTCTCTGCCCAGCACTGTCCTGCTCACGTGACAAGGCCCTGTTCAGTGGCACTTCCTCCATGAAGTCTTCTCTGACTCGCAGGCAGAATGAATCACTTCCCCCTTGGTGCTTCCAAAGCCCTTTCAGGTTTCTCTGTCATGGCGCCGACACTGTCCCCCTGGATGCAGTGAGTCGTCTGTCTCCTCTGTGTAGGAGCTTTGTGAGCTCTGGACTTACGTCTTGATCCACGTGGAGTAGGGCCCGAAACATAGCCTTTTAGGAAATGCTTGCTGAATAGATGAATCACTGTCATTGTCGGCCATTTATTAGACATCTGCCGTATACCTGCCACTCTGCCAAGTTTTGAAGATACAGAGATCCAGACCAACTCTGTTGTCAAAGAGTTGGGGAGACCAGACCATGATACACTATGACAACCAAAAGCCTTTCTATTATAGATTACCTTTTTTTAATTAAATTAGACCTTATTAAAGTGGGCCAGATTAAAGGAGAGAGAAATTTTACATATTTATACAAATTAACAATAAAGGGGATTATCCTAGTTTTTAAGAATGAGGCCAGCGTAAAAAGAGAACTAAAAAATCCAATACCAAACAACATGTTTTTTAATTTAGTTTTTTTATAAGATGAAAAATACTAGCATAGTAACAGCAATAGCATTCAAAGTGATGGAAGTATTAGGCCAGTTCCCTTCTGGCTTTAAAATTTTTACTGTATAAACTGCATATATACTATGAAAAATTTTTTGTCAGAAAATAAATGACAAAAATAAATCCATAGCAAATTAGCCACACTAAGAAACTATGAATATAGTCTTTGAGGTTAAGTTTCTATATGATAATTATGCCATCTAGTGGTTCATTTTTTACTTTTTTTTTCCCTTTAAAAATTTTTCTATTTTAATTGTGGTAAAAAAAAAACATAAAATCTATCATCTTTACTATTATATTCTATTACAGTTCAGTAGTTTTGCATATTCACATTGTCCATGCAACAGATTTCAAAACTTTCTCATCTTGCAACAGTAAAACTCCGTATCTATTAACAAGCCTTTTCTCCCTCCCCTGGCCCTTCTACTTTCTCTTTCCGTGATTGGACCTCATATAAGTGGTAGAAAACTGCCACACTGAGAATGCCAACCAGCTGCTTTCTCTGTGACCCATTAAGCGTCAGGTGGAGTTTTGCATCTTTTCCCTGTGAAAATCTCAAGCAGAAATAACCTTTGCCAGAAATGTGGAACTCTCTTTAGCCTCATTTTAGGGAAAAAAGAAGTTGCCTTCCTCTTGCCCTTCCCAAGAGAATGAAGAAGAGGTCATGTAACCTTCTCCCACTGATGCGTTGTTAGGGGCAGCTGCAGCTGCCCTTTCTCTGCCTTGGTTTTGTGACTGATGAGAAAGGGAGCAGGTGAAGCTTTCACCTGATGGTAGGAGTGGGATCAGGTCACTCTCAGCAAAGCTGGATGTGTCCTTCTTGTGCACGAGATTTCTCTTAGTGTCACTTGGACAAAACAATTTTTTTTTTCCCCTTTGGATATCACAGCGTAGGATCCTGGCTTGGTATTTGAGTAGTGGACTATTTGGAGATCCCATCTGAATGCAGCTTAGAAATGGGAAACTGAAGCAATCCGTAAACCTAAAGCCTTAGACCAGATCTACAGCTCAAAGTGTTCTTTCTTGTACAGAGCACCAGCCTCCCTACATCGTTGCAGTTTTGCCTCGATATGTGGAGATCCGAACATTTGAACCAAGGCTTCTGGTCCAGAGCATTGAATTGCAAAGGCCCCGCTTCATTACCTCGGGAGGGTAAGGAATTTCTTTTTTTACTATAGCTGCCATATTATTGCAAAGCTTTTAAAATCACCTGTGTCATCATAAAGCCTATGCTCTTTTGCTAATATTCTTATTCCTGCCTCCAGATCAAACATTATCTATGTGGCCAGCAATCATTTTGTTTGGAGACTCATTCCTGTCCCCATGGCAACCCAAATCCAACAGCTTCTCCAGGACAAGCAGTTTGAATTGGCTCTACAGCTTGCAGTAAGTACTATTTCTGAGATTTGGATGTGAGTCTGCCTTCCTCGTTGTTCTCCAAAGCAAGTGATTTTGGTTTAGATGTTTATATTTAGTTTGGACTGGTAGAATAAGCACAGAGCTGCGAGTTAAGGGACTTGGATTCAGGGTCTGACTCTGCCATAAAGTATCTATATAACTAAATAATTTCACTTTTTCAGATGGCTTATCTGTCAAATGTAGAATGAATGCCAATTATAATAATAGTATCTCCTAGAATTTAGAAGACAATAAAATAATTTAATAGATATGATGTAGCCTTGATAATTTAATAGCCTTGAAAAATAAGACAATGCAAGCATTAAAATAACAATCATAAAAAAATGAAATAAAATAACAATCATAATGTAAGATTATAGTCTGATTGAATGCAACAACTAGAGGGCTTTTCAGAATTCCTTTCAACAGTAGATCCCTGTCTTTGTATAAGCAGGCCTTCTTCAGGTTTCTGAAACCACCTCGAGTTGCTGCATTGGGGGGCTGCACTCTTATATTTATAGCTGCCACTCTCCTTAAATGTTAGAATGGAATGTTGTTCATAGCCAAGTAGTGCCCATGCTTTTGCTTTGGCGGTTCTCTCATTGCCAACACACTTCTTGGAGACTGACTTCTGAGACTTGTCTTGTTCTTTTAAATATCCCCAGTGGTGATTATTGTCTGTAGAGAGTGGATTTGATTTTAGGAAACAACCAAAGGTCATTCTGATCCTAGACCTCAAGCTAGACAGTGCTAATTTAGTAAAAGAGAAGAGATTTTTATGAAGATAATATTTAAAAAGCTTAGTTTTTAGAGTATTTTGTAAATTATTTCTGAGAGGAAAGCAGTGGTCACAAATTTTGGAATTTATGTTTATAGTCACGTGATAGGTACTTTTGTTTTTTTGGTTTTTTTTTTTAAGATTTTATTTATTTGACAGAAACACAGCGAGAGAGGGGGTGGGAGAGGGAGAAGCAGGCTTCCCGCCAAGCAGGGAGCCTGATGCAAGGCTCGATCCCAGGACCCTGGGATCCCAACCTGAGCTGAAGGCAGACACTTAATGACTGAGCCACCCAGGTGCCCCTGATAGATACTTTTGAAGGGCGGTATTTATCTTGGATATATACATTTTGGATTTAAAACAAAAATCCAGTCTTAATCGTTAGAAATATTTACTATCCCATAAAGATTGTGTTTTTCTTGGGGCATTTAATTTCCGCATCTTACTACTTTATTTTTATTTTTTTGTCACTCATGCATTGCCCTAATATTTTACTTTCATTTATAAAATAATAAATACCCATGAACCCACCATCCTACCCAAGAAAAACAGCTTACATAACCTATATGTTCCTCTCCATCTCATTCTTCTGCCTCCCCTCCAGACAAGCCATTATCCTAAATTTGTGTTTATTGTGCACTTTAAAAATGTATTATTGAAAAATCTCAAATCAACAACCTAACCTTACACCTAAAAGAGCTAGAAAAACAACAAACAAAACTCCAAACCAGCAGAAGGAAGGAAATAATAAAGATCAGAGCAGAAATAAGTGAAATAGAAACAAAACAATACAGTAGAACAAATTAATGAAACCAGGAGCTAATTCTTTGAAAAGATCAACAAAATTGGTAATAGCCAATTTAGCCAGACTCATCAAAAAAGAGAGGACTCAAACAACATTAGAAATGAAAGAGGAGAAATTGACACTACAGAAATACAAAGAGGATTATGAGAATATTATGAAAAATTATATACCAACAAATTGGACAACCTAGAAGATATAAATAAATTCCTAGAAACATATAACCTCCCAAAACTGAATCAAGAAGAAATAGAAAATTTGAACAGACTGATTACCAGCAATGAAATTGAATCAGTAATCAAAAAACTCCCAAAAAACAAAAGTCCGGGACCAGATGGCTTCACAGGTGAATTCTACCAAACATTTAAAGAAGAGTTAATGCCTATTCTTCTCAAACTATTCCAAAAAATAGAAGAGGAAGGAAAGCTTCCAAATTCCTTCTATGAGGCCAGCATTACCCGGATACCAAAACCAGTTAAAGATACTACAAAAAAAGGAGAACTACAGTATCCCTGGGTCAGTATCCCTGATGAACACAGATGCAAAAATCCTCAATAAAATACTTCCTAACTGAATCCAACAGTACATTAAAAAATCATTCACCACAATCAGGTGGGATTTCTTCCTGGGTTGCAAGGGTGGTTCAGTATTTGCAAATCAGTCAGCCTGATACATCACATCAATAAGGGAAAGGGTAAGAACCATAATGGTTATTTCAATAGACCCAGAAAAAGCATTTGACAAAGTACAACATCTATTCATGATAAAACCCTCAACAAAGTAGGTTTAGAGGGAATATACCTCAACATAAGAAAGGCCATATATGAAAAACCCACAGCTAGTATCATCCTAAATGGGGAAAACTGAGAACCTTTCCCCTAAGGTCAGGAACAAGATAAAGATGTCCACTTTCACCACTTTTATTCAACATAGTACTGGAAGTATTAGCCACAGCAGTTGGACAACAAAAAGAAATAAAAGGCATCCAAATCAGTAAGGAAGAAGTAAAACTATCCCTATTTGCAGATGGCATGATACTATATATAGAAAACCCAAAAGACTCCACCAAAAAACTGCTGGAACTGATAAATGAATTCAGTAAAGTCACAGGATACAAAATCAATCTACAGAAATCTGTGGCATTTCTATACACCAACAATGAAATAGTGGAAAGGGAAATTAAGAAAACTATCCCATTTATAATTGCACCAAAAAGAATAAAATACTTAGGAATAAACTTACCCAAGGAGGTGAAAGACCTGTACTCTGAAAACATTGATGAAAAATTGAAGATGACACAAATGGAAAGATAGCCCATGCCAATGAATGGAAGAATTAATATTGTTCAAATCTCCATACTACCAAAAGCAATCTATAGATTCAGTGCAATCCCTATCAAAATGCCAAGAGCATTTTTCACAAAACTATAACAAACAGTACTAAAATTTGTATGTAACCCACAGAAGACTCCAAATACCCAAAACAATCTTGAGAAAGAAAAACAAAGTTGGAGGGGAGGTATCACAATGCCAGATTTCAAGATACACTGTAAAGCTGTAGGAATCAAAACAGTATGGTACTGGCAGAAAAATGGACACAAAGATCAATGAAACAGAATAGCTCAGAAATAAACCCATGATTATATGGTTAATTAATCTGCAACAACGGAGGCAAGAATATACAATGGATAAAAAAAATCTCTTCAAAAATGGTGCTGGGAAAACTGGACAGCAGTATGCAAAAGAATGAAACTGGATCACTTTTTTGCACCATACACAAAAATAAACTCAGAATAGATTAAAGACCTAAATGTGAGACCTGAAACCATCAAAATCGTAGACGAGAACACAGGCAGTACGTTCTCTGATATAGGCGATAGCAGCATTTTTCTAGATATATCTCCTCAGGCAAGGGAAACAAAAGCAAAAATAAAATATTGGGACTACATCAAAATAAAAAGCTTCTGCACAGCAAAGGAAACCATCAACAAAACTAAAAGACAACCTATGGAATGGTAGAAGATATTTACAAATGACATATTCAATAAAGGGTTAGTATCCAAAATACATAAAGAACTTGTACAACTGCACATTCAGAAAGCAAATAATCCAATTACAAAATGGGCAGAAGACATGAACAGAGATTTCTCCAAAGAAAGCCATACAGATAGCCAACAGACACATGAAAAAATGTTCAACATCACTCATCAGGGAAATGCAAATCAAAACCACAATGAAAGGTGGAGGCAAGATGGCAGAGGAGGGGACTCCATTTCAACTGGTCCCCAGAATTTAGCTGGATATCTATCAAACCATTTTGAACACCCATGAAAAATCAGCCTGAGATGTAAGAATATATATCTGGATCTCTACAAGCAGAAAAGCTACTGCCTTTGGCAAGGTAAACCGTGGGCAGTCGTGAAACTGTGGGGAGATATCAGAAGATAAACAGAAGGGGGAGGGAGCTGCCAAAACCACAATGAGATACACCTCACGCCCGTCAGAATGGCTAAAATCAAAAACACAAGGAACAGCAAGTGTTGGTGAGGATGTGGAGAAAGAAAAACCCTTAGGAACTGTGGGCAGGAATGCAAACTGGTGCAGCTACTGTGGAAAACAATATGGAGGTTCCTTAAAAAATTAAAAAAAGAATTACCATAGGATCCCGTAATTCCACCACTGGGTATTTACCCAAAGAATACAAAAACACTAATTCGAAAAGATATATGTGCCCCTAAGCTTATTGCAGCATTATTTACAATAGCCAAGATATGGAAGCAACGTAAGTGTCCATCAATAAATGAATGGATAAAGAAGAGCTGAGATAGATATCTATATATATATCTCTCTCAAATCAGTAATATGGAATATTACTCAGCCATCAAAAAGAATGAAATCCTGCCATTTGCAACAACACGAATGGAGCTAGAGGGTATAATGCTACATGAAATCAGTCAGAGAAAGGCAAATACCATATGATTTCACTCGTGGAATTTAAGAAACAGAAGGACGAAAAAGACAAACCACAAAAGCAGACTCTTAACTTACCAGAGGGGGAGGTGGTGGGGGATGGGGAAGTCGGTGCTGGCGATTATGGCGTGCCCCTGTGACGATGTATGCAAGTGTGGAGTCACTGCTGTGTACACCTGAAACTAATATAACACTATGTTCATTATACTGGGATTAATAAATTTTAAAAGGTTGTTTTTTGTTAACCATTTACGTATATGTGTGTGCTTGAATAATTTAGTTTTTGAACTTTAAAGGGTGTCATGCAGCACATAGCTTTTTTAGTATCTGTTTTTCTTCACAGGAAGGTCTTGGGTCTTTTCAGTGATCTTCCTGCTGCAGGTTGTGTGTTTAATCTTCGGTAGAGAAGGTGGAAGTGGGTTTCCATTTTTCCCTTCTCTTTTCTAGACTTGCACTTACTAGGTGTTGTACTATGAGGAAAGAAGGTTGGTTGATACCATCTTAGCTCTTTGGGAACCTGTCTTTTATTTAAATAAATCAAAGAATATACATGAAACTTTCAGAGGGCGAGTACATGTTAAACTTCGCTATTGACAAAATGTGGAGCAAAATTTTAGCCAGAGGACAGTTCCCTGTGGGCTGGACAGGACATCCCAGGGTTGGACCCTTTGTGAATAGGTGGGGAAAGAGGGAGCAGTAAGAGCCTGAGGAAGTTAAAGAAGTGGAAACAAGTGTAGAAATGGCTTGGAGCTCATCCTGACTGGAGTGGAGGGTGATGCTTGAGCGTCTGGGAATAAGCTAGAGAAGAAGGCTGTGCCAGGTTCTGAAAACCTGTAAAGCACCAAGAGGGCTTAGACGGGGTGTGGCCCTGTGGTGATGGTGGCCTGGAGTGGGGTGATGGCAACAGAATAGGAAAGGAAAAGAAGGGAAGAAATGGAAAGAAATTTTGAAGGAAGAAATTAAATGTAGTAAAGATTGGTTAAAAAGAATATAAGGGGAATAAAAGGTTATAAGGAAGAAACAAAGATAATAAATAGCTGCATTAATTTAGCTCTTACTGTGAACAGGACCTTGCCCAGCTGTGCCAGTGACATTAAATGCCCTACATTCTGTCCTCACTCACCCTGTTTTTAGTTTTGATTTTTTTGTGTTTTTAAACTAAACTCTAGACTTTATTCAGATTTCACCAGTTTTTCCATTAGTTAATGCCCTTTTTCTGTTCCAGTTTCAAATCCAGAAATTACATTGTATTTAGTTGTTCTGTGTCCTTAGTGTCCTCTGATGTATGACACTTTCTTTTTTTTAATTTGTTTTAGTATTTTTTATTTATTTATTTGACAGAGAGAGACGCAGTGAGAGAGGGAGCACAAGCAGGGGGAGTGGGAGAGGGAGAAGCAGGCTTCCCGCGGAGCAGGGAGCCCGATGCGGGGCTCGATCCTAGGACCCTGGGATCATGACCCGAGCTAAAGGCAGACACTTAACGACTGAGCCATCCAGGCACCCCTGTATGACAGTTTCTTACAGTTTCCTTGTTTTTCATGACCTTGACCGTTTTCAGGGGTACTGCTCAGGTATTTTGTAGAAACACTGTTGCATTTTAATTGCAGAGTTTCTTCTCAGTCTTGTGGTTAGATTGTCAGGACAGTCTATGAGGGTAGGTGCCATGTGGCTTGTCTTATACACTTTGGCATGTGGACCTCCTACGATGTTGTCTGATCCCTAGTATATACTGAATAAATATTTGTTGAATGAATGCCCTCTTACCTGTTCTACTCTCTTACTAGGAGATGAAAGATGATTCTGACAGCGAAAAGCAGCAACAGATCCATCACATCAAGAACTTGTATGCCTTCAATCTCTTCTGCCAGAAGCGTTTTGATGAGTCCATGCAGGTCTTTGCTAAGCTTGGCACAGGTAACACATGGGTTTGGCCTTGGATGGACCTCATGGAGGGAGGGGAAACTGGAAAGGATGGGAGAAATGGTGCTAGACATCTGAAACTGGGGCTAGTTTCTGCTCATTTCAATTGATCCTCGCGCCTCACAATATCTTGTGGGTGGCCACAGTGTTATATATTTACAGTCCTTATCTTGTGTACCTGGTCTCACCCAGAAACACAGACTTCCAATATCCCTTTATTTACTTAGAGTAGAGAGGTGAGATCTCTTTCCAGTGGCTAGAATATTCATACATGGCACCCAAGGCACTCTTTTTTACGTATATCAAGGTGCAGGCATTTTTGCTATGAGGCCTTTAATGTGGTCCTGCAAAACCTTATATTCTATAATAAAATATTCTTGGGAAATAACAGGACTTCTGGGAGAAATGAGGTTGGGGCAGACCACTCAAGACATAGGCAGCTTGGTCAGTGGAACACTAAAACAATAGCTGTCCTACTAACATTAAATCCCCACTGTTGTTGGTACTCAGCATGGTAGTGCTTTGCAGTCTTGAACCTTGAGGCTATGCTTTCTCCTTTGAGATACAAATCTTTGAGAATATTTGCTTCTAATAGAAACTAGTTTCATCAAAATAAAAAGTGTGGGGGCGCCTGGGTGGCTCAGTTGGTTAAGCGACTGCCTTCGGCTCAGGTCATGATCCTGGGGTCCCGGGATTGAGTCCTGCATCGGGCTCCCTGCTCAGCAGGGAGTCTGCTTCTCCCTCTGACCCTCTTCCCTCTTGTGTTTTCTATCTCTCATTCCCTCTCTCTCAAATAAATAAATAAAATCTTTAAAAAATAAAAATAAAAAAAAATAAAAAGTGTGATCCTGGGTATAGACTTCTTTATGAGATCCCCCCAAAAAATGAGCGTGGGGGGAACATCTTTGCTTTATTTTTACTCTCAGCTTTTCCAGCTGGTTTAACTTAATAGAAAGTATAGTGGATTTTGAAGCTACTAACCAGCCAGCCACTGCTTGCACTAAAAGAGGTCAGTTGTGAGGAAGCTTGGGCACCTGGGTGGCTCAGTCGTTAAGTGTCTGCCTTCGGCTCAGGTCATGATCCCGGGGTCCTGGGATCGAGTCCCACATCGGGCTCCCTGCTTCTCCCTCTCCCACTCCCCCTGCTTGTGTTCCCTCTCTCGCTGTCTCTCTCTCTGTCAAATAAAGGGATAAAATCTTTAAAAAAAAAAAAAAATTGTGAGGAAGCTTACCTGGTCACTTTAAAACATTAACAAGCTGGAAATTTGCATACAAATCAACACAACTTTTTTTAATATAAGATTTTATTTATTGGAGAGAGAGAGCACAGAGGGAGAGGGAGAAGCAGGCTCCCCACTGAGCAGGGAGCCCGATGCGGGGCTCAGTCCCAGGACCCTGGGGTCATGACCTGAGCCGAAGGCAGACGCTTAAACAACGGAGCCACCCAGGTGCCCCACAACACAACTTTTGCCTCATAATGATAATATTCTTCCACTTATGAACTGTGTTAACTAATTCATATGAAAGAAACTCAGGTTGTAGAGTATACCTGGGATGCCAAGTCGGAAGACTGCTTTCAGGGGCATGGAATAGGAGCAGAAGGAAACTTTGTAGAGGGATTTTCTTCGGAGCCGGAGGGAGGCCAGGCTTCAGAGAACAGTCTCAGACGGCTGGAATGTCATACTACCAGGCCTAGTGTCCTTTGATCCCCCTAGTGTAGGAGGGACTGGGCCTAGGTTTGCTTTTCCTGCCTCTCACTTTACTGTGTTCCACAGATAGGTTTCTTAAAAGGGTGGCCTGTTTCTACCCCTTGTGAGTGAGAAAGAAGCTCTGTCTGCTCCCACTGGGGACATAGGGCCTGTTGAGTGGACTTTATCAAGTTTGTGAACCACCCTAGACTTGATATAAAATTTTTTTCATACATGGGTTTTTCTGGAGAGAGGATTAGTATGTTTGATCACATCCTCTGATGTCTTAGATCCTAAAAATGTTTAAGAACCGATATTTTAGATTATTTCCTTATGGCAACCTACAACTTGTACATAAAAAGCTCTAAGGCAAGATAGAAAGGTAAGTACTATAGGTATTTGCACAGGGGCTTGGTAAAAAGACACACTGCATTGAGACCATGGAGTTTTGGAGTCTTGGTGGTTGAGCATGATGTGCGGAATGGCAAGAATGTGAATAAGATAGTTTTTATATTTCTTTTTTTAATATTTTATTTATTTATTTGAGAGAGAGCACAAGCCAGGGGGTAGGTGCAGAGGGAGAGGGGGAGGAAGACTCCCCGCTGAGCAGGGGGCCCTACTTGGGGCTGGATCCCAGGACCCTGGGATCATGACCTGAGCCGAAGGCAGATGCTTAACTGACTGAGCCACCCAGGTGCCCCAGTTTTTATATTTCTTGAAACCCATATTTAGATCTTGAAGTTGAGCCTTAGACTATTGAATTTGTTCAGGTACTATATTCATTACTTATTTAGTCAATAAAAATTTTATCAAGCTTCTACCGTGCGTTGGAGGTTATGCTGGATACCAGGTAGTGGGGCTTATATTCTGTTGGAGAGGGGGCAGACACCCAAATAAATAAGCAAATTTATAATATATTGGGAAGTGGTAAATCCTAAGAAAAATAAAGCAGGGGAATGGGGATAAGGAGTGCTGAAAATGGGAATTAGGATCACAATTTAAGATAAAATGGTCAGGGAAGGCATCTCTGAGAAGTTAGGGCCTGAAGGAAGCTATTTAATGAACCGGGCAGGTGCACTGCAGGCCAAGGGAATGGCTGGTGCCAAGGTGGTGAGGTTGGAATGTTGCCTAGTGTGTTCCAGGAGCAGATCCATGTGGCTAGAGCAGAGTTGATCTGTATCCTTTGTTTTGCATAAGGACTATAATCCCATTGTGAATTACCTGTCTATATTACTGGGGATTCAATGTGTGGCATAATCCTGGACTCGGTGAACATGTGGGCCAAAGGCAAATCAGATAAGCGATGTCAGTGCCAGCTCTACCTTTGATCTTAGGCTTCGCGGATAAGTAAGACCTGTTATATGACCACAAAGCACTTACATGTAAAACCATCAGTGAAATGTTGGAATAAGTGTCCCCAGGGTTGTGGAGAAGTAAGTCAGGAGTCTCAAGAGGAGGTGACCGGGCTCTGGAAGATAGAAGGAAAAGCAGAGTGTAAAGGAAGGGTGGGTGGCAGGAGGACTCAGTGGTGGCTGAGGGTCTATGAGCCCCAGCCCACTGTGATGTTGGTGCTTGATAGGTCATATGAGAAAGAGACGTTGGGTCTAAATCTTAGAGGCCCTTGAGTGCTACAAGGGACTTTGGACTTTGTATTGTAGGCTTCAGGTGACATCACAAGGTTTTAAGTAGAGTGATGTGATTAGAGCCACATCTGTAGACACACACACACCGTGGTGCGGGAGGCTGGCAAAGCTAGGCGAGGGCGGTGGATTCACTCCAGGCCCCCAGCGGTTGTCTGCGTTCCTCAGACTGTGCTTCTGTGTGGCAGCCACACAGATCCGCCTGCTGTCCCTTTCAGCTTCCCAGGAGTGTCAGTTTCACATTATCATAATTCTCAGGTTTTGAGGAACACAGTCTTCCTAGCTTGGCAGAAATACCGGGGTCAGACAAAGGTTTCTTGGGGATGATGTGGGTTCTGGAGGCTTCAAGGCAAGGCTGGGTAACATTTCTCTTCTGGTCTGCTTGCCTGGAGCTCAGCTCCTTCTAGAAGGGACATGGCCTTCTCCTGGTCCTCCAACTTTTTTTTTTTTTTTTAATGAAAATAATGTTAGGACAAAACATTTATTGAAGTGTTAAAGGAAAAAAAAATTTACTCTAGATCTAGCCTTGACTCTCATTTTGTCTCTTTTTCATCCAAGCTTTTTCCACATGTGTACATCTCAGTATAATGATAATCATAACAGTATATGCTTTTATAGTTTTTGTTACTTAAAAATGTTAAAAATGTATTGTTTCCATGTTGCTGTGTGCCCTTCATAATTATAATTTGTAATGATTGCCTTATAGTCTCTTAGTTGAATAGACTATAGTTCTGCTGCTGAAGGAATTCCACATTGTTTCCAGAATTGCATTGTTACAAATAATGTTCATTACATGACCTGTTCATTCAGATGTGTCTTCCTCCCTGCCCCCCCCGCCCCCGCCTTTAGACTGTTTTCTTAGGGTAAACTCCTAGAAGTGGGATTAGTGGGTCCAAGTGCCTTTTTCCTTATTGAGGTAGAGTATTTTTGCCTTGGCAGTGTAAGAGTTATTCAGTCTCATAATACTGCAAGCATTGGGTAGTATCATGTAAAAATTTTTTTTACTAATTTTACTAATTAAATGTACTGCTTTGATTCTTAATGTAGCAGAACGTTTTCCCACTTATTTATATTATTTTCTTGTCAGTTGTTCATGTCTTTTGCCTGTTTATCAGATGAAATCTTTTTTTTTTTTTACCAATTTATGTTTTATATAATTAACTTATTAGCCTCTTGCCATATATGCTGCGAATATATGCCTTAGCCTATTGTCTGGCTTTGTTTTAGTAATCGTAATTTGTTTTGGTAATAATTCTTTTTTTGACATACAATTCTTTTATTTTTTAAGGCTATTGATTTTTTCAACTTCAATATCTTAAACTTGATCTTAGCCAAAAGGCTGAGAAGCGATCAACTTTAGTATCTTAGCAATTTTTTCTTGGAATATGTTTTCTTCTCCACTTGCAGAGAATTCATAAATTTTCCATTCTAGTTCTGCATATGTGTATTTGTGTATGGCTTGGAAGATAGAGTCAAGCCATTTTTGTAATGGTTTAGTGAAATATACATATAAATAGTGCTCAAATTATAGAAGTGTAGAGCTAATTGAGTTTTTATGAACTTGGAGTCATTCTTTTTAAAAAAATCAGCCTGAGGGTGCCTGGCTGGCTCATTCGGTAGAGCATGTGACTCTTGATGTTGGGTATAGAGATTATGTAAAATATAAAAAAATCTTAAAAATCAGTCTGGAACTTATTTTACTGTAGTAATGGTCTTGTTTTATCTGATCCCTAAATTGCTGTGCTCCTTTCTGGGGAATCATGTTTACCTTCCATGTAGATCCTACCCATGTGATGGGCCTGTACCCAGACCTGCTGCCCACAGACTACAGGAAGCAGCTGCAGTATCCTAACCCGCTGCCTGTGCTCTCGGGGGCTGAATTGGAGAAGGCGCACTTAGCTTTGATTGACTACCTGACACAGGTAGGTATGATACAGAGGTGTGTGGAAGAGTTTACCTGGGAGTTCCAGTACCTCTTTTCTGTGGCAGAGAAGGGCAGGCCTTCTCAAATTCCATAGGCATTCCATAAATGAATGCCGTAGAAGTCATGGTGGGCTGGGTACATTTCTTTCTCCTCCATCTCCTTGCTCAGTCATACCATTGAGCTGTTTGATGCCAAATCTTGATAGCAGGAAATGTACTTGATTTCTGGTAAATTTACACTAAGCTCTTCTGGGAACTAAAAAGAATAAATCTTAGTTGATAGAAAATAATAAGTTTTTTGAAACACTCTTTTGGAACATACATACTTTTGGAAAAATACATGCTCTATGCAGGAAACTGGGCAAACATAGAAAAGTATAAAGCAAAAGTACAAATCACCCATAACCCTACCACCCAGAGAAAAGTAATGAACATTATAGTGTTGTCCTTCTAGACCTTTAGAGGCACACCTCCTTTATTTTGCTTCACAGATGCTGCTTTTTTTTTTACAAATTGAAGATTTGCACCAACTCTGCATTGAGCAAGTCTGTTGGCACCATTTTTCCAACAGCATTTACTCACTTTGTGTCTGTGTCACATTTTGGTAATTCTCACATTTCAAGTTTTTTCATTATTATTGTATTTTTGTGATCTGTGATCATTGATCTTTGATGTCACTGTTGTAATTGTTTTGGCATGCCACCAGCTGTGCCCATATAAGATGGCAAACTTAATAAATGTCTGTGTGTTCTGACTACTCGACCAACTGGCTGTTCCTGCCTCTTCTACTTTTTGGGTCTCCCTACTCCCTGAGACACAACAATTTTGAAATTAAGTCAATTATTAACCCTACAATGGCCTCTAAGTGTTCAAGTAAAAGGAAGAATTGCTAATCAAAAGTAAAGATAATTAAGCTTAGCAAGAAAAGCATGTCAAAAGCCAAGACAGGCCAAACTCTAGGCCTCTTGTGCCACTTAGCCAAGTTGTGAGTACAGAAGAAAAATTCTTAAAGGAAATTAAAACTGCTACATCAGTAACATGAATAAGAAAACGAAACAGCCTTATTGCTGATTTGGAGAAAGTTTTAGTGGTTTGGGTAGAAATCAAACCAGCCACAGCATTCCCTTTCGTCAAAGCCTAATCCAGAGCAAGGCCCTAACTCTCTTCAAATCTGTGAAGGCTGAGAGGGGTGAGGAAGCTACAGATGAAAAGTTGGAAGCTAGTGGAGGTTGGTTCATGAGGTTTAAGAAGGAAGGCGTCTCCATGACATAAAATTCGAGGTGAAGCAGCAAGTGCTGATGTAGAAGCTGCAGCAAGTTCTCCAGAAGATCTAGGTGAGATCATTAATGAAGGTGGCTCCACTTAACAACAGATCTTCAGTGTATGAAACAGCCTTCTGTTGGAAGGAAATGCCAACTAGGACTTTCATAGCTAAAGAAGAGAAGTCAGTGCTTGGGTTCAAAGCTTCTAAGGACGGGTTGACTCTCCTGTTAGGGGCTAATGCAGCTGGTGACTTGAAGTTGGAGCCAGTGCTCTTTGACCATTTTGAAAATCCTAGGGCCCTTAAAAATGATGCTACATCTGCTCTGCCTGTGCTCTATAAATGGAACAACAAAGCCTGGATGACAGCAGGTCTGTTTATAATATGGTTTACTGAATATTTTACGCCCACTGTTCAGACCTGCAGCTCAGAAAGAAAGATTCCGTTCAAAATATGACTGCTTATTTGAAATGCACCTGGTCACCCAAGGGCTCTGATGGAGATGTACAGTAAGATTAATGTTTTCATACTAACACAGCATCCATTCTGCAGCCATGGATCAAGAAGTAATTTTAACTTTCCAGTCTTCTTTAAGAAATAACATTTCACAAGCCTATAGTTGCTATAGATAATGATTCCTCTGTGTCTGGGCCAAATAAATAAAAAACCTGGGAAGGATACACTATTCTACATCCCATAAGAACACTCATGATTACCCCAAATAGCCAAAGGAGTGTTGAAAAAGAAAACCAAAACCGACAGCATCACAATTCCAGACTTCGGGCTCTATTACAAAGCTATAATCATCAAGACAGTATGGTACTGGCACAAAAACAGACACAGAGATCTGTGGAACAGAAGAGAGAACCAGAAATGGATCCTCAACTCTATGGTCAACTAATCTTCCACAAAGCAGGAAAGAATATCCAATGGAAAAAGTTTCTTCAACAAATGGTGTTGGGAAAATTGGACAGCCACATGCAGAAGAATGAAACTGGACCATTTCCTTACACCACTCACAAAAATAGACTCAAAATTGATGAAAGACCTAAATGTGAGACAGGAATCCATCAAAATCCTTGAGGAGAACACAGGCAGCAACCTCTTTGACCTTAGCCGCAGCAGCTTCTTGCTAGACATGTCTGCAAAGGCAAGGGAAGCAAAGGCAAAAATGAACTATTGGGACTTCATCAAGATAAAAAGCTTTTGCACAGCAAAGGAAACAGTCGACAAAACCAAAAGACAGCTGACAGAATGGGAGAAGATATTTGCAAATGACATATCAGATAAAGGCCTAATATCCAAAATCTATAAAGAAGTTATCAAACTCAACACCCAAAGAACAAATAATCCAATCAAGAAATGGGCAGAAGACATGAACAGACATTTCTGCAAAGAAGACATCCAAATGGCCAACAGACACATGGAAAAGTGCTTAACATCACTCAGCATCAGGGAAATGCAAATCAAAACCTCAATGAGATACCACCTCACGCCAGTCAGAATGGCTAAAATTAACAAGTCAGGAAACGACAGATGTTGGCGGGGATGTGGAGAAAGGGGAACCCTCCTACACTGTTGGTGGGAATGCAAACTGGTGTAGCCACTCTGGAAAGCAGTATGGAGGTTCTCAAAAAGTTGAAAATAGAGCTACCCTACGACCCCACAATTGCACTATTGGATATTTACCCCGAAGATACAGATGTAATTGATCCGAAGGGGCGCCTGTACCCCAATGTTTACGGCAGAAATGTCCCCAATAGCCAAATGATGGAAAGAGCCCAGATGACCATCAACAGATGAATGGATAAAGAAGATGTGGCATATATACATATACACACACACACACAGTGGAATATTACGCAGCCATCAAAAAATGAAATGTTGACATTTGCAACAACGTGGATGGAACTAGAGGGTATTATGCTAAGCAAAATAAGTCAGTCAGAAAGACAATTATCATATCTTACTGATATGTGGAATTTAAGAAACAAGGCAGAGGATTGTAGAGGAAGAGGAAAAAATGAAACGAAACCAGAGAGGGAGACAAACCGTAAGAGACTCTTAATCATAGGAAACAAACTGAGGGTTGCTGGAGGGGAGGGGGGTGGAGGGGTGGAGTAACGGGATGGTAGACATTGGGGAGGTATGTGTTGTAATGAGCACTGGGTATTATATAAGGACTGATGAATCACAGACCTGTACCCCTGAAACAAATAATACATTATATGTTAATTAATCAAATTTAAATTAAAAAAAAGAACACTCATGATTCATGGGAAGAAGTCAGAATATCAACATGAACAGGAGTTTGGAAGAAGCTGATTCCGGCCCTCAAGGATGACTATGAGGGGTGCAAGACTTCAGTGGAGGAAGTGACTGCAGATATGGTGGGAATAGCAAGAGAACTAGAATGAGAAGTGGGGCCTGAAGTCGTGACTGACTTGCTGCAATCTCAGGATAAAACTACTGGATGATGAGTTGCTTCTTACAGATGAGCAAAGAAAGTGGTTTCTTGAGATGGAATCTAGTTCTGGTGAAGATGCTGTGAAGACTGTTGAAATGACAACAAAGGATTTAAAATTACCCATAAACATAGTTAATAAAGCAGTGGCAGGGTTTGAGAGGGTAGACTCCAGTTTTGAAAGAAGTTCTGTGGGTAAGATGCTATCAAACAGCATCACATGCTATAGAGAAATCATTCTTGAAAGGAAGAGTCAATTGATGTGGCAAACTTCCTTGTCTTATTTTGAGAAATTACCACAGCCACCCCAACCCTGAGTCATCAACATCGAGGCAGAACCCTCCACCAGCCAAAAGATTATAACTCACTGAAAGCTCAGATGATGGTTAGCCTTCTTTAGCAATAAGGTATTTTTAAATTAAGGTATATACATTATTTTGTTAGACATAATACTGCCATAAGCATACTTACACATAAGCATAACTTTTGTATGCACTGTGAAACCAGGAAATGAATTTAACTCACTTTATTGAGATACTAGCTTTATCGAAGTGGTCTGGAACCAGACTCACAATGTCTCTGAGGTATGCTTGGATATGTATTCGTGAATTCGGTTTTTTAAAAATTTATTGGGGCCCTTGGGTGGCTCAGTTGGTTGAGTGGCTGACTCTTCGTTTTGGCCCAGGTCATGATCTCGGGGTCCTGGGTTTGAGCCCTGCATTGGGCTTTGCGGTCAGCTGGGAGTCTGTGTGAGGATTCTTTCTCCCTCTCCCTTTGTCCCTCCCCCTGCTCCTGCACACTTGATCTCTCAGTCTCTCTCTCAAATAAATAAATCTTTAAAAAATAAAAAAATAAAATTTATGGGGTTATTATTGCTAATGGATATCAAACTAAAGTTGTTCTATAGCTTACTTTTTAAAAATTTAGCTGTAGATTGAGAAAGTCCTTCTCTGTCAATAAATATTCTTCTATAACATGGTTTTTTTTTTAAGAGGGAGTATTTAGATTTAAGTTTTTTTTTTTTTTTCTAGTTTACTGTTATGGAGAGATAAGTGAAATTTTCAAGGGAACACTAAAATTAATGTCTCCATTAAAGACTGTTCACCACAAACTTCTGTCACAAAGGGCTATTATTTATTTTCTGGGCACTCACCCAGAGTCTGAGAACCTAGTAAATTTTTTTCCCCATAGGTGTTGTGAAGACCTCTGTGGGGGTCCCCTGGGCAGGCACTGAGAAAGACTGCCGGGAAATTGTAAGCCAGCTACCTGCCGCCTGCTTCTGGGTTAGTGAAGGTCCCATAGGTCTGGTCAGGCATGCGTAGCCTTGGCACTTCCTTGACATTGGGCTCCAGGGGTACCCAGACATGCCTCTGTCTGCACCCTGCACAGCTCATGTGGCTGTGTCAAGTGAAAAAGATTCTTGGGGCAGAATGTCTCCTAAGCCTGTGGCATTGAAGAAAACCCTCTGTTGCCAGTGTCTTTGCTTTAGGACTCTGAGCACACGTTTTTCCCTCCACTGACATTTGGAATGTGTGGGTTAGCTGACCCTGATACTGTGCCAGAGAGATGGTAGAGCATATAAGACCAAGGGCATTGCCAGACACAGTATAGTACAACCTGGATGATTATATTTATGTGAAGTTCTAGAATAGGTAAAAACTAATCTCTAGTGATCGAAATCAGATCCGTGGTGTCAGAGGTGGGTGGGATTCTTTGAGAAGAGCCCGAGGGAACTTTCTGGGGTGATAGAAAGTGTTCTGTTCCTTGATTGGGGTCGTGGTTATATGCATGTACATATGTGTCAAAATGGATTTCATACTTTAAAAGGGTACATTTTACTGTATGCTACACCTCAAGAAAGTTGATTTTTTTTTTTTTTAAGAAAAGGACATGGGCTTTGGAATTAGATCCTAATTTGAAACTTGCCTCAGCTGCTTGTGAGAGAGCTAATTATCTGTGCCTTCGCTTCTTCGCTTGTAAAGCAGGGATGATAATAATGTCTGCATTTGTAGTAGTTTTAAAATAGGATGACATAAATTTCTTGGCATGGTGCCTGGTGTATAGTAACGACCCTATAAATAATTGTTACTGGATCTGTGGCAATTTGGCATTCATCTCTTTTGATCCCCACTAAAGATTATATGCTAATGTGAGATCAGGGTGGATAAGTGTGAGCTGTGTTGGCTGTATTTGGAATTACAGTAGCTCAGGTGATAAGGATGATTTAGTCCTGGCCTTAACCCCACATTTTCGGGCCTTGGCAGAAACGAAGCCAGTTGGTAAAGAAGCTGAATGACTCTGATCACCAGTCTAGCACCTCCCCGCTTATGGAAGGCACTCCCACCATCAAATCCAAGAAGAAGCTGTTGCAAATCATTGACACCACCCTGCTCAAGTGCTACCTCCATGTGAGTTCTCCAAGCACTTGGTACCCATAATTCCCCAGTCCCCTGAAGCTGGGAAAGGGCTACTTTGGGGTAATTGCCATCAGTAAGAGTGAAATATCTTTGATGATGGGTACCACCTAGCCTTGACCTGACACCTCTGAGTTTCTGGGAATTAGGACAGTAAGGCAAGATATTGCTCCAGAATTTGCGGTGGGCTGGTCTTCTCTGGTAAGACTGGGGTTGGTGCTACAGGGCAAACAGGGACAGTGTTTCCTGAATGTATCCCCTCCTGCCCCCCACTCCCCTCCAGCACATGAAAACCTGCTGTGTGAAAGAGCATAATGCTGTGAAAGCCACTCCCGGTAGTCCTGATAAAGGGCGGTTGGCCTTCTCTGGCTTGGGTTCCATCCCTGGCCTTGCGGCCTGAAGCAGGCCTGGGCTAGGAGGGGGCAGGGGTGGGGGTGCCCCTTCACGACGTGGCTGCCACGGAAGTCCTACTTCCTCCACAGACGAATGTGGCCTTGGTGGCCCCTCTGCTGCGCCTGGAGAACAACCACTGCCACATCGAGGAGAGCGAGCACGTGCTGAAGAAGGCGCACAAGTATAGTGAGCTGATCATCCTCTACGAGAAGAAGGGGCTCCATGAGAAAGGTGGCCGGAGCAGGGGCTTCTCGAATCTGGGAGGGTCTCTTGTCTGGGGAGAGGTAACTCTCCCGTGGGCATGTGCCTCCTGGAAGAGGCTAATGACCTTTTTTGGGGTGGTGCTTCATGACCAGCTCTGCAGGTGCTGGTGGACCAGTCCAAGAAGGCCAACTCGCCTCTGAAAGGCCACGAGAGGACAGTGCAGTATCTGCAGCATTTGGGTAAGTCCAACCTTTGAAAGGGAAGTGGGGAAGGATTGTGTTCAGAGGGAACTGATCTCTGTCCATTTCTGATGCCGGCGGGTCAGTCCCCTCCCTGCCTTGTGCTCACCCAACTTTGTTTCTCCAGTTGGGGTCAGAGTACCCCCATGGTGGAACTGTGACAACCCTTTGGCATGTAGCCAGCGCAGTAGGGCCAAGGAGCCCTGAGTGACTGGTGCTTGGACAGAACTATCTTCCCTGGAAAGTAAATTCGGGGGCAACCTGTGCACCCACCTTCCCAGTCCTGTGGCCAGGGTGGGCTTCACCTGTCTACGAATCTTTTCCTTCCCAGGCACAGAAAACCTGCATTTGATTTTTTCCTACTCAGTGTGGGTGCTGCGAGACTTCCCAGAGGATGGCCTGAAGGTAGGTCACAGGGGTCTTTTGGATTTATCTAGTCCCATGCTGGGTTCTGATTCTACTAAGGACAATGGGGTTGGGGGGTAGGATTCATGCAGTTTCTCTGGTGTTCAGAGGAGTAGTCTGGGAAAGAGACAACAGTGTAATAATGTGGTGGAGAGAGCCTTGTGCAGACGTCAGGAGATCGGCGCCCGTGACTTAGTCTGTCACACGAGCTACAGGTGCCATCTGGTAGACCCTTCCCCCTTTAGAAGTCCACTTGACCCTCCACTGTGTGTGTGTGTGTGTGTGCGCGCGCGCACGCGCATGTGTGTGGTTGGCAGCACTGCAGTCAGATGGTTCTGCTGGAACTCGGGTTTGTTCTCACAGATCTTTACCGAAGACCTCCCGGAGGTGGAGTCTCTGCCGCGTGACCGAGTGCTCGGCTTCTTAGTGGAGAATTTTAAGGGTCTGGCTATTCCTTATCTGGTAAGATCTTTTTTTGGTCTGAACTAAAAACCTTTAAATGCAGGATCCAGGGCCACATGGGGCAGTTATCGGGCAATTCAGATTGGGGTTTATGTCACTTGGGGATTGGTAGAAATGTAAGGAAGAAGATTATTTCTGCCTCCTCTGAAGAAAGATCTTGGTAGATCAAGCTGGAAATGTTACCTTTGATGAATGCCTTCTAAATCGAGATAAAGTACAGAGGGATAAAAGAGAATGATGTTCAAGAAAAACATCTCAAAGCCACATTTGTATGGCCATTCAGATTCAGCCGTGACCATAGGACAACCAAATTGGTTTTAAGTACCGGAATGCAACTATGTAACCGTAACTATGTGGGCTGATGCGAGAGTTTAGAGGATTATGGGACAAAATTAATGAATGAGCTTAGATTGCAAATCAAGAAAATAATCCTTGATATTGCTGGGTTGTATTCCAAAATTTCCTGGTGGTTTTAAAAGAGCTATTTTAGGAAACAAGCTCGATGGGACCTGTTGGGCCTTAAAAATCTGAGGGAGACGGGGTGACAGAGCTGGGCCACAGCATAGAGGGTACCAGGTAGACCCATGTCTTGCCTCAGGAACATGTCATCCACGTTTGGGAGGAGACAGGCTCTCGGTTCCACAACTGCCTGATCCAGCTGTACTGTGAGAAGGTGCAAGGTCTGATGAAGGAGTATCTCCTGTCCTTCCCTGCAGGTACCAGTTCTAATAGAAAGCCAGGTGGCCCTGGGCCTTAGAGGTGACCTGGGACCCGAGGGTGCCATGTGGCACAGGGAAGCAGACCTTACTCTTCTCTGCGGGCCCGGGTGGGTGGGAAGTTCCTCAGAGGAGCCAGGGCAGCTAAATGAGCCAGCACGGGAGACTCAAGAGCTCTTGTCTGGATCTGGGCATCGCTGAGCATTGCCCATATGGGAGGGGGAAGGAACAGATTTGTCTGCAAGACGACAGCTGTGCTGATAAGAAACAGGTTTGCTTACAAGAGCGCTTGTCTGTGCAGCTTGATTTTCTTTGTATCTCAAGCTGATGTTTTGGGGTCGTGTAGAGACCATAAACTAAGAAAAATCCAGCTGGAACCCACTGTGGAGGCCCTTTCTGATCATTGTGGTGATACCATTGAACCCCATCCCCTTCGTTTTTCTTGATGATCCCACATTGCTGCCCCACAGCATTATTTCATTTTGAGCTTGGTTTCCGTTGAAGGCAAAACTCCAGTTCCTGCTGGAGAGGAAGAGGGTGAGCTGGGAGAGTACCGACGGAAGCTCCTTATGTTCTTGGAAATTTCTGGCTACTATGATCCAGGCCGGCTGATCTGTGACTTTCCTTTTGACGGTGAGTGTCTGGCTCATGCCCAGAAGCCACTTCAGCGGAAGGTAATGCAAAAACTCACCCTTCTCTTTTCCCCACTTCCCTACTCTTCCCAAAATTTGGGGCTGGAAAAAGCCCTGTGTTTCAGGCCAGGGCTGCTGTTCTGTCCCATCTGAAGATTCGCTTTTGTACCGTGACTGAGAGGAGTCTGTTTTGGGTGTGAACCACCTGTCAGTTGATGGCCAGGTTGAAACCTGTTTATTGCATCAGTACATGTTCTTGGGCAAGTTCATTATTTGGCAGTATTTGTAATCTGGCATAATCTGTCTGAAAAAGACACACGTTTGTCTGTTGTATAAGCTCCGGGGGAGCAGAGACCAAGTGTTTCCTTAGCTGGAGTGCTTGGCACATTGTGGGCGCTTATTATGCACTTGGTTGTTGGATGAGCATTCTTTCCCGGTTTAGAAGTGATCACAAAAAAGATGGGATAAAGTACTTTCTAAAATAGCTCCCTTCGCCCTTTTTAAAATTTTAGCAATTTTCTCCTTGAAAAAATCCCAAGTAATACAAATAGTTTCACCCAGTTGTGTAACAGCTTAGCCCCTGGCCTGTGCTTACTCAGTGGTGGTGAGGGTTACTCACACTCCTTCTTCCTCGCAGGCCTCTTAGAAGAGCGCGCACTGCTGCTGGGCCGCATGGGGAAGCACGAGCAAGCGCTCTTCATCTATGTGCACATCCTGAAGGACACAAAGATGGCCGAGGAGTACGTTCACCCTGCCACCGCACCGCCCAACGAGTCCGACAGCAGGCCCCGAAGAGAGAGGAGAGGCAGAGGAGAGGCGGGAGAGGTTCAGAAAGCCGCCTCCCCTCTGCTCTGCCTCCCGTGCTGGCCCCCGATTGTGGCGCCCTCATGAGGCTGTTCCCGCAGGCAGAATTGATAACCTCTCTCTCGACATGGCTGCCCTGGCCTAGTCTCACCACTTTCTCCCTTGCAGGTACTGCCACAAGCATTACGACCAAAACAGAGATGGCAGCAAAGACGTAAGTAGTGACACTGGCCCCAGGGAACGTGTGCTTTTCACTGTCCCTCACAGCACTCCTCACCCCTTTGGGGATGGCCACAGGTGACACTGGTAGGAGTTGCTGAGATCACTGATTTTGCACATGTGTATTGAGGAGAGACAGGGTGACCGTACATCCTGGTTTGCTTGGGATGGTTCTGGCTTATTGTCATCCTTGTGATGATGAGTAGCACCCTGCCCCTTTACTTAAAGGAGTCCCAGCTTGTTTAAGTTCTGTGGTCAGCCTGTTGAGGAAGAGCATCTAATGGTTGCAGTGAGGTGCACTTATGTCCCCTGTCTAGAATGCACATGGATTTGTCTGTGTCTGGACACTTTCGATTGTCATGCCTGGGTGTGTGGGCAACTGGAATCTAGGCGGTAGAGGCCAGAGTCACTGCTAAACAGTGTACAGGATAGCCTCAAAGAATTAGCCAGCCCAGAATGTTGAGTGCTAAGGTTGAGAAACCCTCTGTTACTGGTACCAGTAGGAAAGGTGGTGTCTCAGCTCAGGTTAATCCTCATTTGCCAGGGTTACAGCATCAAATCCAGATTCCTGGGAGGGATCTTTTTGAGTCATTTTGCAGTGTTAGCATTTTGTCGACAGTATAATGCTTAACAAACACAATGCATTTGATTTTTTTTCTCTCAGGAAAAACAGTCCTTAATTTTTAACATCTTCATTTGGCTGACTTTACCAAAATCTTTTAAAATGTGAAAAATGATGAATTTTATGTGCTCCAGGGCAGCTCTTACTAGAGACCAACCCCTCTTATTTTTAGGTGTGGTAATGCTGGGGGGTTCTGGAAGGCTTACTGCCAGCCTGACGTATGTGACTTGTATGAGACAGGTGTATCTGTCCCTGCTCCGGATGTACCTGTCGCCCCCCAGTGTTCACTGCCTGGGACCAATCAAGCTGGAACTGCTGGAGCCACAGGCCAACCTCCAGGCCGCCCTGCAGGTCCTTGAGCTGCACCATAGCAAGCTGGACACCACCAAGGTCAGGAGCTCTTCTGGGGAGATGGGAGGCACTCAGGGGTGCACTGAATGAGAGGAGTGAGAGGCAGGGACAGAGAAAGGGACTGGGGTTCGAGAGCTGTGTGGCTTCACACTTTTCCTCAGGCTCACTCCCATTCTGTCTCACCCCGTTCCCATCTCTGTTCCTGTCCCTAGGCCATCAACCTTCTACCAGCAAACACTCAGATTAACGATATACGCATCTTTCTGGAAAAGGTCTTGGAAGAAAATGCACAAAAAAAACGGTTCAATCAAGTGCTCAAGAACCTTCTCCATGCAGAATTTCTGAGGGTATGAACCTTCCAAACCCTAGGATGGGGTTGTACTTCTTAGTATGAGACAGTTAACCACATATTCCTCATAGACAAAAGCTGAGCTTTGTGTTCCTTGAACACTATAGCTCAAACTGATGTCATAACCAGCTTGACAGTTGGTTGCAAGGGTTTCCATTAGAGACATCTGTGGGGGCTGGGGGGGTGAGACAGCTCCAGCCTCTGCCTTCGGTTCTGTGTGCCAGACTCTGAGGCTTCCGTCCCAGTCGCTGTCCTCTCGCAGGTCCAGGAAGAGCGGATTTTACACCAGCAGGTGAAGTGCATCATCACAGAGGAGAAGGTTTGCATGGTGTGTAAGAAGAAGATTGGGAACAGGTGAGCCTCCTCCACGGCTGTGCAGCCTCAGCTGTGATGTGGGTCATGCTCAGGATGGATTTCTGCCCTTTAGCTGAAGGGGAAAGCGTGGCTGCTGACTGTCTCAGCCACTGTTACTTCCTGAGCTTCCAGAGAGCAGTCCGTGTTGTCTGTTGCGGCTTAGCTTTGAGGATTTAAAGACTTGCAGTGTGTGGCATGGAGCTCCTGACTTCGTGCCTGTAGAGCCCTTCCCTTCTGGCAGCTAGACGTTGTGATGTAGCCAGTGGGTGTGTATGAGTTGTATGTGGGAGAAAGTTCTCTTTTAGGGTGTGCCAGTGAAGGAAGAAAAAGATCTTTCCATCTGCTACCTCATGACTTGAGTAAAATCCTGAGCCAGCATCATTCTGTTTCAAGCATATGCTCTAGTCTATCCCCTTGCCTGCAAGGCAGGGTGCTTTGTCCTTTTTCTTACGTGAGTGGAAGAATCCTTTTCTTTAGAAAGACGTTGTTAGAATTAGCTTAAAAACTTGTTCTGATGAGCAGAACCATCTGCTCCATCTGCCCTGTATTTCACATTGATGACGTCATAAGAAATATTCCCATGCCTTCAAACTTCACGGAACTCATGCTCTGTTTGGTTATTTGACAGATGGTGGCTGTGTAAATCCAGAAGACCCTAGGGGCGGGCCGTTCCTTGTGGTTAGGGTGGGTCGCTTCTGGGATGGCACCTGGGTAAGGCACCTTTTCTAGGAAGTGGTCTTCTCTCCTGAGCCGTTTTCCTTCTCTACAGTGCATTTGCAAGATACCCCAACGGAGTGGTCGTGCACTACTTCTGTTCCAAAGAGGTCAACCCGGCTGACACCTGAGCCCAGCATGCCAGGGACTCTTCTCATGGACAGTCGGCTATCCCAGAGAGGGGAAGGAGCACCGGCCTTAGGAATGGGGGGCTGCTTCCACCACCAGGTGTCTCCCCATTTGGACACTCCTGGCTACCTTGAGCCCTGGAACATCTCTGAATTTATCAGACTTGCGGTCTGGTGTTACCAGCTTTTTGATAGAAAAAAGAGATTAGCTATACCTTATATACCATTGTGTTGCGGGCAGTTTCGGAGAATTTACTACCTGCTTGGACGGGAGGAGGTGGGGAAGGCCATTGTCCTGCCTTTGCACACCAATCACCTGAACAAGGAAAGTGTCTCAAGTGTCTGTAACCCCGAGATTGTTTATGCAGAGTTTTCTTTTAAGACACGTGCAGAACTTGGCGTGGAGCCCCCTGCGCGGTGGCCTGGAGCCTGGGAGGAGAGCTGTCCTAGAGCTCATCTCGCCATGTGGGCCGGCCCTGGCCCTCTAGGTGATGACAGTCATTTCTCCGTAGTCGCCATGGCCCCTGTCCCCCGGGTTCTGCCTGTTCATCGTGTCCTGTTTCAGTCTCCATTTCGTCCTCACTATTGATATTCTTCCTTTATCTCTCCCCTCACTGCTCCCCCCCACACTTTGTCTCCCGTTTTCCCCACACCGGGGATAATTGATATTTAAACAAGGTAAAATGAGAAGCAAGAGGAAGTCTCAGTTTCCAGGGTACACTGATAACTGATTGTCAGGTATGTTGTAAATAGGTCCTCCTTGGACTGAGCTCTGTGCCTAGAAGCTTACGGGAGTGTCCTCCTTCCCCCGGGGCCAAGTGTGACGGTGGCTCTCAGGACAGCCTGCACTGGGCATGTGACCTCTTAGGCAGACACCTGCGGAGGCGCCCGCGCCTGGGTCACCCACCAGCCGCCCAGGACAGGTTTGCTTGGTCTCTGTGAGCCGAGTGCTTTGTGCTTTGGCACCTTTCTCTTTAGCCAGTGTCGTCCGCTTACCTCACGGTTGGCCTGGCTGTCCTTCTCCGGCTTTGTTGTGCAGGGGTTGGAGGACTGCGCCGGCCTGTTTTAGGTAGGTGGGTGTCTCTGTTACACAAAGGACCGATCAGATCAGGAGCTGTTGGGGATGGGAGGTCGGGCATGCTTGTGAGGTGCCCGGGGCAGCCGAGAGCACTGCGGGAGGTGGCCACGGCAGCCACACACGGGTTTATGAAGGAACTCACCGCCAGATCCCCGGAGCACTTGCAGGGGGCAGGGAGACACCCCCCACCCCCGCCCAGGGCACTGGAGGCACACAGGAGGAATGTCTGGCATGGCAGGCCACAGACCTACGGGGAGAGCGGCCCTGCATCCTGTCGTCCCTGGGGTCTTTCAGACTCAGTCTTGATGCTGCTGTGTTTTTAACGGTGGGAAGGGTGGGTGATGGTGCCTGGCCCTGACAGTGTTTTAGTAGCCTGGCCTTGACAGGTCATGGTTCTTTTTAAACCACAGCACCGCGCCATGTGGGGTCTGTGTCGTAGGCCGCCTTGTGGGTGTTGCAGACTAGGCACCTCCCAGGCACACCACCCACAGAGGGTTCAGAAGTACAGAGTGCATGCCCTCAGCATCACACACACAGACAGGGACTCTGCTCAGGTCTGGAAGGCAGAACAGTGCTTCGGAAGAGCCATGTCCCACCTGGCCATACCAACCCACAAGAAGCCATGCTGCCCTTGGACCTGTTTGCACCAGCTTGAAGGAGCTTCCCCTGGGAGCAGCAGTAAAGTCATCAGGCCAGCCCTCTGTGCAGCAGAAACCCGCCCCGCCCTACGAGCCCTGTCTTCCTGGCTTGCTGTGTTTGTATCTTCCATTCCCACAACCTGTGTGGCACATCTGTTTGAAGCAATAGAATAAAGAACGTGTGTTTTCTTCCTTCTGGAATACATACACGACCCAGTTTTCCTGGACTCCGTTCTCCCTTCCCTAGGCTCTCTTTGCCCTCTCTGGAGGTATGGAGAAGGCTAGAGACGAAAGCTCTGTAATGACTCATGAGAATCTCTCATAATAAACATCAGAAAGCAAGAAACCAGCCTATTTGAGTCTTTCCCCCCCCCTTTCCTGTGAAGTTTGATGGAAATAACAGTGAGGAGATAATGATTTAGCTAAGAATTGAGAATAAGCCAATTAACGATAAAAAAAGTCAGTATGACACCTCTGTCCTGTCTCGATCTGTGCCATCCAGCACAGCTAGTGTGGCTGGCGGCTGATGGACGGTGTGCGTGTAGAACATTTCCAGCTTCACCCAGTTCTGTTGGACACACTGGAACTCCAGCTAAGCCCGATTGTTTTCCCCCTGCACTTCACATAGTAGGGCCTCATGCCTCTTCCTGCAGCTCCTAATGACTGGGAGAGTCATGAAATGTGTGAGATTGGTGGGATTGAAGGGCCCAAGGATGTTTGAGAAAGATTGGTCCAGCTCTTAAAAAGGCAGTTTGGTCCTGTGTCCCCGTCTTTAGCCATCTGTGGTTGTCCTGAGTTCTCTTTATTGTGGCACAGGGCATGTGACTTCCAGGAGAGGGTGTCGTACAGCCCAGACCATGGGACGCCAGACTGCTCTGTGTGCCCCAGCTAACTCCATGCCCCCACTTGGGCCCCCCTGGGGTGGATCTTCCACACACCGTGCCTAGAAACCACCAGCAGGAGGGTACTCTGGCAATCTCTGAGACCCCAGCACAGGTCTTGGCTCTGTGTTCCAAATTAAGCAGAAATAGGCCTTCCCCTTGGGACCTGGCCAATGGCAGTCATCCCCTTTTCTAGGAGGTTCTGGTCTAAACTTGATTACAGGGTTCATTTTGGAGTTGAATCATCTCTTTTTAGGATGTTTTTCTTCAGTCTCCACCTCATGGTCTGGGGGAGGAGAGTGGAGATGACTAAGTTTCGGTTAATGAACAGAAATCATCTGCCAACAGGTCACTGCCCCAGAGATCCTTTCTTCAGGAAACTGCCTTTCTCCGCCATCCAGACGGCTGTGGTCCACAGATTGTCCCGTACCATCTGTAGCCTAAGGCTTATGATGATCAAAAGAGGACTCTTTAAAGCCTTATCTCCAGTAGCTTAAGGATAGGCAGGACTGCTTTTTAGCTGTCCGTACTGATACCACCTGATGATATCCCTATCTGTTTACCTGGACCATCCAGGTATATCCACCGATCCAGGAAGAGGGCCCCGGGCAAAAGTCAGACAGCATCAGGATGCCATGAATTTCCTCAGGATACTGATGGATGCTCCTCACCTTTGGTTGTAAGGCCTAGTGTAAGTCTGGTACATAGCAGACTGTCAGTGTTTGATGAATAAATGAGGGATGTCACAAGAGATGGGAAACACATTTGGGTCCAGAGATTTCCATGTTTCTGCTTAAGAGTTGTGGGCAAGGTGGGACTTGAAGGGCAGACGGTTTTAGGACTTTTTTCTAGCTGGAGGAGACAAGGCCCTGATGGCAGCACAGGATTCCTGCCTTCCATCCCCAGCACCTGCTGTGTCAGCATTGTCTAGAAGGCTTGTTGGAAATAGGAACACCTGGGTTCTACCCAACGCCCACGAATTCAAATCATCTAGGGGGTGAGGCTCAGGTATCTAATTTCCATAAGCAGCCCGATGATAACCAGGGGCCGGGTTTGGGAACCAGAGTACCAGTTCCTCAACCTCTTGGAGAGGGACTGAAGTGTCTCCTGCGTGAGGGAATTGGACTCCAGTCACTTCCTGGAGCACATCAAACCCCACCTCCAGCCCCAGCAGGCCACCCAACCCTGAGTCCTCAGGAGAGTGGCCAACTCCACCCTCAATGTTTCCTGTCAGACCTGAGCTAGCAGTGAGTGGAGCCAGAGGAGAGCGGGGCGGCTCTGGAAAGCAGGCTTCCAGCTGAGAACCGTGCTGCCTGGCCATGTACTGGCTGCTCTGGCCAAGGTCGCTGGCAGGCAAGGGGCTACCCCTCCTAGGGGCAGTGCTGCTGCATAAGAGAGAGAAGAGGGGACCTCAGTGGAGGCAATGGCGGGTAAAGTACCTGGTCTTCCCTGGGAAGTGTGGACTGCAGGAGCCTTGGGAGCACCGGGCCCTGTGAAGACTGAGGCCAGCCCGGGATTGGGTTCTGATCTGGGCTGGGACCAATTTGCTCTAGCCAACCTGGTGGAGCTTAAATTAAAGAGGTTGGCCAAGACCTTGGCTTTTGGAAATAATCCCCCTCCCCCCCCAATTAGGAATGGAAGGTGAGGTCATGTGATACTTGCAGCTGTTAGCTTTGCCCAGAATGCCCCAGCTTGGCTGTAGAGTACCCCAGGGGGTAAGGAGGAAGGTGCTTGCTGGGCTTTTGAGGGGATGGCCTCACTCCCAGGAGAGTGCAATCTGTTGTTACCTCTCTTGGGCCCAAGATGTTGTCTCCTTAGGGACTCATTGGACCAGAACAAGCTGGGTGACACCTGGTTTCCCTTCACCTGCGGCCTCCTGGGGGTGTGGCCTTCGTCAGTGAGCTGGCTGGTGGGGTCGATCACGGCTTTCTCTTCTGATCTTCAATCTGGGTGCATTCCTCCAGCTCTCACTTAGGCTCCCAAGCTCTTAGCGGCAGCACGGAGGTGAGGGGAGCTGCCCATTTGCGGTGCAACACAACCGTAATTAGTAACAATGGCTACATATATGAAGCATAATACCAGTCACTTTATAGAACTTCTCATTTAAAAATCACCATAACCCTATGGGATTGTAAACCCCCATTTACAGATGGGGAAAATGAGGCATGGGGAAATCAAGTAATTTGCCCAGGACCATTCGGCTAGTCCATGGTGGAGCTTAGATTTGAACCCAGTGTGACTCGACTCCAAAGTCCAGGCTCAACACCGACAGGCTGAACTCCCAGTGTCCCAGTGCCCCAAGGCCTCTCAGGTCCCAGGCACAGCAACTTCAGTGACCCTGGACCAGGCTGCTGCTCTGTGAGGGAACGAGGGAAGCCTGAGCTGGGCACCACCGCAGGGGGGAGATCAGGCCCCCTACCCAGCTTCCAGGAGCTGAGTTCCAGAGGTCTATTGTTTCAGCGGGAAACCCACCCATACTATGACCTCCAGGTGAAGGTGCTGAGGGCCAGAAATATCCAGCACACAGATCTGCGTGAGTGACCCCCATTTCCACCCTTTCTCCCCTTCCTTTCCCAGGGGCCTCCCCAGAGTTCAGCAGGAACTGGCTTGAAGTGTGTGTGTGTGTGTGTGTGTGTGTGTGTGTGTGTGTGTGTTTGGAGTGGAGCAGAGGGGTAGTGCTGACTGTGGAGGGAGTCTTCCCCAGTAAGGAAGCTCCGGGGCAGGCAGGCAGGGGCTGGAGGGGGTCCTGTGCAGACCTCAGATTCCTCCTTGAGTCTAGCAAGTG